AATTAATTAGTGAAAATTAAACACGATAAAAATTTCCGGGTTGTAGCGCGGAAAATTCAAACGAAAATTTTGAACAGTGTAAATGAATATTTGGCAAAAATAATTCAGTAGCGAAGTGGTAAAACGCTACACGTCAATTTTGACTATTGACCCGTTTTCAATGAATATCTCGGAATCTAAGGGAGATAGCAAAATTTTTGTTATAATATTTTTTGTAGAGCCGATTGAGAGCTACAACAAATGTAATTACAAACATTTCGCCATCTCCCCTAGATTCTGAAATATTCCTCAAAAACTCAACTGGGCGATAAGTCGAATTAAACCGTTTTACCACTTTGCTACTGAATTATTTATTCTCAGTGCACTGTACGATCATTTCTCATGTGATTTCTGTTCTTCGTATAAAAATAAACAAATAAAATATCCAAGTATACTGAAAAGTACAAGATATATAGAACACGGTTTTGTAACCGAGAAACCCTCCACAAAAGAGGTCCTTTGATAAATTTCCCCGAGCTCTCTATCAAAGAGTTAAGCCCACAAATATGAGCCGCATTATTTTGCAAAAATTCCGGGAACTACTAGATTCATCAAAACGTACCAAAGAACCTCCTTTGTGGCCGAGAAAATCCCTACAAAAACTGTCCCTCCATAAATTCCCTCAAACCGCTTCATTCACAAGTCGGCTGTAAAAAATCCGAAAATCCATTTGTGATCTATTCCTAAAACGAATAGCCAAGATTATCCTCACTATAAAAATTCGAACACCGAATCTAAAGATTTCCCCCACCGCGTCACCGCCATGACGATAAATAAAATTTCCATCCTCACGAAGGAAGTTCAACCGAAGGCACCGAGCCAGGAAGCCGAAGACCATTTGCCTCTTCCTGTCCCGGAAAATCATGAGTCAGCGACTGGGCATTCACTTTGTGTGAAATTCCCCAGTTAATTCCATCAAAAAGACCCCACAATTTACCACCCAACCTTCTATTCACAAAGACTAAAGAGGATCGATTGAGGTGAGACTACTATGAGTATTAAAACTCGCGGGCTATTGGAATGAGATTTCTCATACATTGAAGATCCATTTACTCGAATATATCTAAAAACGGATTATTAGTGCAAAAAAAATTGTTTATTGTTCGTTTACCCGGGAATCGTTTAACATGTTAATATAGTCCAGAGCCTCCAATTTTTGAGCTAGAGTTTTTCTTTTCAAAATTTTTGAAATAATGTGTGCAAGAACAATTATGAATTATTTTTTTGCAATTTAACTCCTACACAGCTAATTTCGTTATTTAAAAAAAAAAATTCCACCATTTATCTAAAATAGCCTGTAAAGAGCCATTCATATAAAAATGTTTCTAAAAGAATCGAAAATATATTTTTAATATTTCACGGATAATTTTGCAGCCCATTTTATATGAATGGCGCAAAACGAAATTAGCTATGTCGGAGTCGAATTTCAAAAAACTAATTCTTCATTGTTATTCACTGTTAAAATTTTTTGTCTGAATTTTCCGTGCCAAATTCCGCAAATTTTCATCGCGTTCCAATTCAACGAAAATTTCAGGAAATCTTGTCATTGAAAATTCAGAATTTCGTGGAAAAATCAAACAGAACTGTAAATTTTCGTTCCATTTTTCCCTGAAAATGAATAGAAAACCATAAAATTCTAGTAAATATATTCTTGAATGTTCAGGACAGTGACACTGAATGCGATTTAGGCAGAAATTATAATAACTTCCCTGGGCGGGAAGTTAAAAATCCTACTATTTCAAGTTTAACTGAAAATTCAATGCAATTTGACACTGAATATTCATATTAGAGTGGAAATGCAAATAAATAATGATTTTTTCCCCTAAATCGCATTCCGTGTCACATCATTTTTTTTCTAACAGTGTTGTACACCTTTTTTCTAAAATTTTGAAAAAAAAACCTCTGTAGCTCAAAAATTGGAGACTCTGGACTATTTTCAACATTTTAAGGGTCTGCGGGGCAAACGAACAATAAACAATTTATTTTTTTGCACTGATTATTCACTTTTGAACATATATAATCGATCTTCAATGCATGAGAAATCTCACTCCAATAGCCCACGATTTTTAAAACTCATGATAGTTTCTCCTTAAACATTCACCGTCCAAAAGTTTTTCCAACATTTGTTTCCATGAACCCAATGAAAGATTCCTTTATATCAAAATAATCTGAGGCCTAAGGTCGCGGCAAAAAGCCAAAGAATCCAGAGCATGAGTTGCTCTTCCACTCGTCGAGCCAATGACTCATTCTGGCACTCGTCTCGCAGATGAAATCTCTGGACACGTGTGGTGTGTGAATAATGTACATGCATGGAGGATGCACATGTATACGTACGTACGTCTACTGAGATGAGAAATATGGGCAGTTGGATGTTTAGTGCGCGCATATGTGATAGTCACCGTACAGTACATAGCCCGCATCATTGAAGACCGTCGTATACACCGTTCAATTGAATTTCATTACCCTATGTCTTGATATGCATTCGTTGTCTACGTCAATTATTCTTCAACGAGCGCACGTTTCTTGAAAGACATGGAATTGATCGAATACTCGAGATAATAGGAATGTTCGAAACAGAAGAGAACGACTAATGGCAAACACAAAACAGACGTCTGAGTTTCGTATAACAATTGAAAAATACACTGATGAAAACAGTTTTTTAAGGAGTTTGTTTTTACTTATAGCAAGAAACGCGTGGCTTGAAAATTTTCACGAATAAAATATGTTGCACTAAGAGAAAAAACTTTCGTCATGAAATTTTGTACTTGTCCTGAAGACGAGGACAATTTTTTTGATGACAAGAAAGCGATGTCTGAAATCAAGTAAAATTCAATTGATTCATTTCATAGTTTTTTAGACTCAATTCTAAAATATTTTTATGCAAAAATCACTTGCAATTGATTTAAGAACTCGGTTTCTTGATATGAATCAATTGCCCTTATCTTTCGGACAAGTATAAAATTTCTTGGCGTAAGATTTTTTTTCCTTAGCGTGAAATATTGTACGCTTGGTAATTTTCGAGCCATAATTTTTTCAATACAAGTCAATATGTACTTCTCAAAAAATGTTTACTTATATCAAGAAACACGTGACTTCAAAATTTTCAAGGGTAAAGTATCTTGCACTGAGAAAAAACAAAATTCGTTAAAAACTTTTGCACTTGTCCTAAAGATGGGGACAAGAGAGCGATTTCTCGAACCAAGTAAAATTGAATTGATTCATTTAATAGTTTTTTAGGCTCAATTTTAAAATATTTTAATGCAAAAATCACTTGAATTGATTTGAGAACTCGGTTTCTTGATATGAATCAATTGCTCTCATCTTTCGGACAAGTATCCTAACATTTCTTGATGTCAGATTTTCATTCTTAGTGTGAGATATTGCGCGTTTGGTAATTTTCGAGCCATAAATTTCTTGATACAAGTAAAAACGTACTTCTCAAAAAACTAGAGATGTGCGGGTAACTCGTCGTTACTTTTAATCCATCATTTCTCAAACCCGAAAGTAACGAGTACCGAGATGGCAAAGTAAATATTCGGTATTTTTTCTAAATTTCTATACATAGAAAAGTCATAGATAGTCATATGTAGTACATATTGACTTGTATTGAAAAAATTATGGCTCGAAAACTACCAAGCGTTAGCTACCTGAAGCCAAATAATGTTCGAATGATAATGTTCCTCAATGCAAACTCCCAGTTCATTCTCTAAAAGCTGCAGCTTATTTTGGGAATACCAGAGGGACCTCCTCTATAGACTATTTTATTATCTGCAAGCAAGATTTCTTGACATTTAACAACTTCCAAATTAAGCAGCCTCAGTCTCCTAAACTGAACCCATTTGGAAAAGCTCTTTGTAAAATCATTACAATCACAATTATTCTATGATTGCCATTCACGTATTGACGGAGCCAATCGCTTCACTTTTATGACATAGAGACTTACAATCGAAAAATCTTATATAAAAAGGAGATATCACACTTTTATTCCTGAATATAGGAATGGAAGAGAAATCGCATGCATGATGACGATGATACTGATTGTGTTGATGATGTTGATGATATTGATGATGTTGGAAATGTTGGTGTAGATCTACGGAAAGATGTTTTCAATCACGGACAATCATGCATTGATAGAACGGATTAGTTATTGTTAACGAATGGATTTTGGTTGGAGGTTAGAGTCTATTCGGTCCCACCAAATGTTCATTTGTTAATAGTTAACGAATGTACATTTAAGGAGCCCTCTTTGACTTGACTTTCGCCATTCAAGTGAACCATTTGTTAACTATTAACAAATATTCATTTGGTCATATTCAACTCTACCATCCGTTAATAGTTAACGAATCTCGTTTGGAGTAAATGAATCATTTTATCAGTGTAGTATGTAGCTTTTTCGAGAGTTCGATCATGAGATCTATTGAAAGTTTTCATAAAACACCAACAAAAAAACGCCAAAGTCAAAAATTATGTCTACAAAGAGTTATATCTTTGAGTAAATGGTATATATATTTATATGTCTATAAAAGGAACCGACTTGATCGTATTTAGTATCTGAGATATTCATGGTTTTCCATCAATAACGGCCGTATAAATTAACATTGAATTATTTTCTGATCTTCGATACCAACATCATTTCCAACAAAACATGTGTTGATCATCAATTGAAGTTTTTATGGATTTCGACGTATCTCCGACAGATTCTCGATGGAAATTTCCATCCCTTTTCAATAAAAAAAAAATTCATGGCTTTTCAAATGAAGTTTCCATCATTTCCCACGAATTTCTTCTTAGTAATACTATAGAAGTTTGTATATGTGAAATAACATATTGATTCAAATCAACTTACAATAAGAACGTGATGAATCATATCAAATCAATCATAGTAATAGGCGCGCTCCGCGCCTGTTACTCAATCTCATTAAAGGAAATACGAAAAAAGGAGACAATTCGAAAAAACAAACCTGATTCTCCGAGTTGAGTAATTTCAGCTGTTCATTGATGAGACTGTACTTAGTGCTCTCCTCCTTCCTAAGTGCCCTCTCCTTCTTCAACTCCGGGCTCCAGAACGTCTTGATACTATGCATCGAGCTCCCAAGCTTCTGATTAGTGAGCTCGAGTTCCTTCTTAAGGTTCCCAAGCTCTCTCTGAAGATCGTTATTCTGATGCTGCAGCTCCCCAATATAAAGTCCGCCATCCCTGAGTAGATGGGGATTGGGACTCTGCCTAGCTGATCTCGACCCATAGATATCGTCATCCAGATACAATCCACTGCGATCTCTACTGCGCTCCCTGGGCTCGCGTATGGGCACAAATTCTCGATCATGATCAAGAATCCCAGCTGACGCGCGATCCAAACTCGTGTACCTGGCTGACAGTCCTGAAGCCCCCGACATGGCAGGCCTCGAGGCACTTCGTGACCGATGATGACCCCCACCCCCGGTTGACATACTCCTACCCCTTTCCTCCAGCATAACTGGACTCCCCAGATCCTCGTCTCGCGAATAAAAAGGACTACTCAACTGATGATGATGATAGGATCCATAACTAAGGTGTTCCGGTGAATTATTACCACTTCTTGTTCCGCGTTTACGTCCAAGAGGACTGCCCCGTCCACTGGCATAACTCCTCGATGGGCTACGATCAACTGTCGGCAATTCGGCTACGCGTCTACTACTACGCGGTGATCTAGTCCCACCACCTGGACCAACCACCCCACTTGAGGCGTAAGGGTCCCTAGACATATCTCAATAAACGTCTTTCCCTTCAATCCTTCCCCCCCTTTGTTCTAATCTGACTTCCGCTTCTGCTCTTTTCCTTTCCCACCCCCAAAATCCCCTCTCCACTTTACCTCTCCGGCTATCCGCTCCTCTTTCACCCCCTATCCTCTCATCCGCCAATCGACTCTCTCACTTTTAGCCGACCTGACCCACTTCCCTACGTTTTCCCACCCTACATACAGGTCGTCTATTCACTTCCCACTCTAACTTCTTCTCCCACTTCCCAGTTTCTTCAAGGTGGAGCTCCTGTCGGCCTCTCCTCCACGCATCCAAAGGGATCAACATTAACTGTTTCATTCGATTCTCGATTGGTGATGATTCGCCTAGGGTTTTTCTCACTGGCAGAATGCAGCCACTTCCGATTCAATGCCTCCGCCACCTTTTTTCGGCCGCCCTGACCTTTTCGGATGCTGCTGGTCTATCGATTGCGTCACGTGCTCAATGACAAACGTCAATTTCCCGAGGTAGTTTGATGAGCGGTCAGGCCTCTCTCTCCCTTGTCCTTTCGTTTCACTCTTTCAATCCTCACTCGTCTCCTTCGTGTCATCGATCGACCTTCACTCGACCTGTCCCACCTATCGAACCAGGCTGTCCTTCCGCTCATTCGCGGCTCAACCAATCGACCTGATGAGGATCACTCGTGGACCGGGCGTCGTCCAGCAATTATTTATCCTTCTCCAGTTCATCTGCACACATCATTCGCCGGGGGTTCAAGCCTTCACTTCACGCTTGACTCTGTCGATATCGTTCCATGTAATCTACCAGGACATCTCCAAATGATGCCACTCATATCGGGATTCAATGGATCATCATCGCTACGAGATTGTGGGAATTGATTTCGCCGGATTTGGATGGGGACACGAGTGCGATGAAGACACTCGACTCACCGCTATCGATCTTTGACCCGTTTTCGGTGAATAAAACCATGGGAGTAGCTCAACGAATCAAAACCACGGGCCGCGTTTCCTTCGCGCGGTATCGCGGCAACATCCGGTACAAATTTGGTCTCTCGTCCTTTTGGATTACGCTCGGCGCTCCTGCCTTACCCACGCACGATATCACTGGTTCTTTGATCTGCCAGGAACAATCCTTTGTTCTTCCTCCGGAACAAGGGTCTTCGGGTGAATGATCGCGTTCTCGATGATCCTTCGCAGATGGAATTACCCCTTCCCCTTTATTTCTAGTCAAATATCTTCCCCCCGACGGCCCACGTATCCGCCGACTATCCAATCGATCTCATCCTCCACTACTACCGCCACTCCACTACTACCCTCTCTTCTCTCCCTCACAGACACATTAATACACCCCGGTGCACTCAACACATACACCCAGAGGAAAAAGCTCGTCTATTTACCCCCAGTTTTGGGTGACGATATCGATATCTATTTTATTCAAATTTCCCTCCTCATCCCCCCTCGGCCCGACCACCAGGAGGCGCTAGCACACACATGTACACACACAATGAGGTTATGACGGGGTTTTCGGAGTAAAAAAGCCCATTCGAGTCCCCCCCGCCGACACACGAGTGCGGGTAGTTGATCGTGCACGGTGAAAGAGGGCTCGATCGACGTCGCGACGGATCCGCGCGAGCACTGACACTAGGGAAGACCGGCGATAAACGCCGGCGGTGGACAGAAGGAGCGACGGGCGGTCAGCGGCTGCGCAGTTGGGGCAGGTGCGCGCGCGCTTTCAGCCCCGATCTAGGTAGGGTTTGAGGGAAATGAGGCGGTCGCGACGATGACGGCATGGGGGTGGCGCTGTCGGGGGTCAATAACGTGGCCGCGGGGGTTGGGGATTTTGATCGATTTGGGGTTGTGGGAAATAATCGATGGGACTGGTGATACGTTTTGATATTTTCGGGGAAATTGATGATCTGGGGGGGNGGGTGAGGGGAGGACAGTCGGGGTTGTAGAGGAAGGGGAAACAGTTTAAGGTGAGATTTCATATTTGGCGGTTGGAGGTTACCTTTGGGCCGTGAGGGGGGTTAGAAAAAATTTGAGAGGGTAATTTTTTGTGGGGAAATTCATCAGGTTCAAAAAGCTGGTTGGCTGCTCGTGTCTGAAATCATAAAATTTTCCCCACCGGTACGCTGTTGGAAAAAAAATGAAATTTCATGGACAATTGACTGCCATATTTCAGGACCGTGACGCTGAATGCGATTTAGGGAGAAAAAATGATATTTCGGGTTTCACTGAAAATTCAGTAAAATTGCAGAATTTTGAGGGGCATAACGACGAGAATTCCTTAATTTATTTGAATTTCCAATCTAATATTAATATTCAGTGTCACATTGCATTGAATTTTCAGTGAAACCTGAAATTTCATGATATTCTTCCCCCTAAATCGCATTCAGTGCCAATGTCCTGAAAATTCAAGAATATATTTACCAGAATAAATCGAATTGAAATAAAATTCATCGATAATATCGATAATAATTGAATGAAAATTCAAGAATATGTTTACCAGAATTTTTTGGTTTTCTATTCATTTTCAGGAAAAAATGGAACAGAAATTGACAGTTCAGTTTGACTTTTCCAGGAAATTCTGAATTTTCAATGACAAGATTTCCTGAAATTTCAGTGGAATTGGAACACGGTAAAAATTTCTGGAATTTGGCACGGAAAATTCAGACAACAATTTTTAACAGTGTACACTGATAGGAAAATTATTTATATTGACATGTTTCCTCCTTGGAACGAGTATTATATACTGGAACCGATTTCAAATAAATAAGATCTTATGGTACCAATATCAATTATTTCTTCTTGAGATACGAAAAAAAATAGAAAAGTTCTATTTTTTTTAACCTCATGTAATCTACAGTCGATAAATTTTCTACTTTCATGACTTGATAAAAAATTCGTACCTAGGAGATGATTACATTTAGGAATCAATTGAATGATATTTTCTCCAATTAGTGATGTCGCGAGAGAAACGAGACGAGAGACATGGCGAGACTAGACGAGAAGAGTCATTCGAGACAATGACAGAAACGAGACGAGACGAGAAAAGCCGGTCGAGAACGAGAGAAACGAGAGGCGAGACAAGAGTCGAGAGAGCCTTCCCCTCTCTGCCCCTCTGTGTATTTTTTTGAGACGAGATAAGGCGAGATAAGACGAGATAAGACGAGATAAGGCGAAATGACACGAGACAAAAAAATCTCTCAATTCTCGACTAGACGAGAGAAGAAACTCCTCTCGTATTTTGATACGAGAAGATGCGGTTTCTCGTCTCGTCTCGCGGCATCACTGTCTCGAATGAAGCCGATGTTTAAATTGAGTTTTCCGTACATCACATTGAACGAAATTTGTGATACCCAAATTTGTGTTGAATTATCACTTGAACACCATGTGAGTTGCACCACGTGACGTCGACTGGTGTAATTCAATTGGCTGCAATTTGAATTGGAAAAACGACACAAAAAACTTGAATTTCTGCTCAACTATACACGGAGAAAATTATTTATAAACTAGTTGTTGAAATTCACCAAATAATTATCTCCGTGTACAGCATTGACTTCGTTTTACATTTCTGTCTGACTTAAACCGCTTAAACACTTGACTATAGAATCCTAGAAATAATCCTAAGGAAACTAGAGCAATCGAGAAATTATATTGCATCTCAGCCACTCGAGCCATTTATTTATTATTGATGCTATCGGATTTAGCGGTTTACGAGAATTGAGTAAGTTGCTTCATGGCTCGTTTAAATTTACGCGAGATCGATATCGTGACCACGAGAGGGAGCAAAGGTACACCTGATCTGAACAGGGCGGTCCACAGTGGGAATTTACTACTGTTGTACATCCGGTGTCTTAAGGGGAAACGGAACCCCTTTGTCTGTATGAACTTTTAGAATTGTGTTTTCTCCTTCAATTATTAATTTTTATCTATGAAACTACTTTATCGACTCGATCATTGCATTGTTGAGTCAATGAAGTAGTTTCATAAATATAAAATAATAATTGCAGAAGAAAACACAATTCTAAAAATTCATGTAGACACAGGGGTTCCGTTTCACCTGAAGGTAATTCCACTGGCACCACCAGTATCGCATTGACTAGATTATACATCCGTACTTTTTCTATTCGCGAATTGGCGGCATAAATGATGTAATGAAAATTTAATGATTCAGTTCCCGAGGGATTCCTATCTCAATAGAATTTCCATGTTTTAAATAAATGAGTATTGCTTCAGTATCCGGCGACCTCATTATCTCCACAGGAAATAGTTTTTTTTCACAAAACTCTGAATACAAATGGACTTTTGTCGATTTTGATAAAGTGTTTGTAGGCGTGGTAAACTTCTCGATTTTTTATAAGAAAAAAACAACAATAGAATTTTCTAACGAATTCGATAGGTTTTTCTATTAAATTTTTTCGTGCGTGGAATCCAATGGCCAGAGAAAAATCTGGAGTACCCGGACAAAAAGAGGAAATATTAAAATGTTTCTACCCTATATAAGCGCATGTTAGCGCATGCATTTGGTACATTTTGTCTATTTCATTTCCAAATCATGAACATGGGTTGGTGGATTGAAATTTGTATCAAAGTGAACGAAATATTTTCATCTCTTAGTTAAAAAAAAACAATTTTTTTTTTGGTACTTGCGATTTTGGATAAACATCCTTAAGGATAAGCAAGTACACAGTAAAAACAATTCCGTGTTACTGTCTCTGATATGGGGGGTTAAATATTTCGGGGTTAAAATTAACTCTCTCGCCCGGACTCAAATTTTGGTTCGGTGTCAATTTTTATTTTTCACACTAAACTGTGTTAAGTAATGGGAGACCACTATGAAAATTAAAAGTCGTAGGATATTGGAGTGAGGTTTCTCATGCATTGAAGATCAATTATATATGTCTAAAAACGAATAATTAGTGCAAGCAAATTAATTGTTTATTGTTCGTTTGCTCCGGAGACCTTCAAAATGTTGAAAATAGTCCAGGGCCTCCAATTTTTGAGCTACAGAGGTTTTTTTTTCATAATTTTTGAAAAAATGTGTACAATCACAACTACGAATTCATTTTTCGAAATTCGACTTCTACGCAGTTAATTTAATTTTGTTTAATATAAAAATTTGCGCCATTTATGTAAAATATGCAGACAAATTATCCTTAAAATATTAAAAATACATTCTCGATTCTTTCAGAAATATTTTTCTGGCTATTTTACATGAACGGTGTAATTTTTTATCAAAATAATAACGAAATTAGCTGTGTAGGAGCTGAATTTCAAAAAAATAATTCGTAATTGTTATTATCATTGAGAATTCGAGAATTCGGAAGGCTTTGTGAAAGTGACACAAAATAATAGGTGTCCGACATATTGCAGTCCACAATAACACCAATTAATTATCCAGATATTGAATGAATCAGATTAAAAATCGATTTGAATAAATACCCTAAATGTATCTATTCCCACTACCCAGACAGAAATTACAAACCGATGAATTCTACTGAATTTGTCGGATCATGACTTGGTAAATAACATCCGGTAATAATTAATAGAAATCCATCGACGGGAGTGGGAACCTCGGAAAATCATTATTATTCATAACCAAATGAACCCTCATTGCATCACTGGAGCACTGTACGGTTGTTTCGAATTTCACCTGTCAGATAAATCACTCGTTAACTCTTACTGAATATTCATGGGCTCACCTTCAACTTCTACAGTACTTTTCATTATTAGTTGACGAATCTCGCTAATTACGAACGAATTCTTCGATCAGGAGCGTCACTTCTAGTGATACCGCCAGACGCGAGAGAAACGAGACGAGAGACCTGACGAGACGAGACGAGACGAGAAGAGTCATTCGAGACAATGCCAGAAACGAGACGAGACGAGAAAAACCGGTCGAGAATGAGAGAAAGGAGAGACGAGACGAGAGTCGAGAGAGCCTCCCCCTCTCTACCTCTTTGTATTTTTTTTCCGTGCAAATTTGATTAAAGAGACGAGGCGAGACGAGACGGGACGAGACGAGTCGAGGCGAGACGAGACGAGACGAGACGAGACGAGACGAGACGAGACGAGACGAGACGAGACGAGACGAGACGAGACGAGACGAGACGAGACGAGACGAGACGAGACGAGACGAGACGAGACGAGACGAGACGAGACGAGACGAGACGAGACGAGACGAGACGAGACGAGACGAGACGAGACGAGACGAGACGAGACGAGACGAGACGAGACGAGACGAGACGAGACGAGACGAGACGAGACGAGACGAGACGAGACGAGACGAGACGAGACGAGACGAGACGAGACGAGACGAGACGAGACGAGACGAGACGAGACGAGACGAGACGAGACGAGACGAGACGAGACGAGACGAGACGAGACGAGACGAGACGAGACGAGACGAGACGAGACGAGACGAGACGAGACGAGACGAGACGAGACGAGACGAGACGAGACGAGACGAGACGAGACGAGACGAGACGAGACGAGACGAGACGAGACGAGACGAGACGAGACGAGACGAGACGAGACGAGACGAGACGAGACGAGACGAGACGAGACGAGACGAGACGAGACGAGACGAGACGAGACGAGACGAGACGAGACGAGACGAGACGAGACGAGACGAGACGAGACGAGACGAGACGAGACGAGACGAGACGAGACGAGACGAGACGAGACGAGACGAGACGAGACGAGACGAGACGAGACGAGACGAGACGAGACAAGACGAGATGAGATGAGATGAGATGAGATGAGATGAAATGAGACGAGACGAGACGAGACGAGACGAGAAGATGCAATTTCTCGTCTCGTCTCGTCTCATCTCACGGCATCACTGGTCGCTTTAGCGATTCAGTGGCTGGTCCAAGTCTGACGTACCAATCTTCAATACCAGGATAATAAACATCGTCGTCGTCTAGCCAAAGGGGCGGTCTGCTGTAATGAAAATTTTTTATTAAATCTTCCGGTCCACTTCTTTCAAGTTTTGATCAAGTAACAGTCTTACTAAAATTTCCGAGAATTTCATCATTGGAAATTCAAAATGTGATGAAAAATGGATAGAAACCATAACCTTTCAGTTGAATTATTGAATGAAGTTAAATAGGAATTTGGTATCCAATATTCATGTTTTCATTGAAAATTTGAAAAAGTGTATTTTTCATTCAATTTTCATTGGTAACCAAAAAATTCATTTTTTCAGACGTTTTTGTATAATGTCTGTTGTGATGGTTTTGGGCCAGAGTTTGTCAGTTGCGGGTAGAAACTAAAAAAATTCATGAAATCTCCATAAATTGAGGAATAAATCGTACAACGTTTCTTTGGTAACGTTTACTATGTGCGGATTCCGACATGGTAATCTTTACTATTTCATTTTCTTTGTGTAGCTAATCAAGTGAATTGAACGCTGATTACCCTGTTTCAATTGAAGACTGTTACCCTCATTCATCCATGGAATGTGATGAACCGTGCTCAAACCTGCAAAATGGTGCAAAGTCAGCATTGTACAAATTGGAATCGAGCGTCGTCTGAGCATTGAAATTCATAAGTAATTTAGTCTTGTCCAAGCATGGTAACCGACAGTACATAGGAATAAACTCCTTGAGGTTATTGCGTACCTCATCCGAAATCCGTCACCTTTGCTTAGCGTCTACTGGCGGCTTCAAGTGTCCGAATAAGTTCAAATCCACAAATACACTGTTAAAATTTTTTTTCTTAATTCTCCGAAAAAAAAACTTGAATTCGATTTAAGGGGAAAAAGTCCATGGAATTTCAAATTTCTCTGAACAAGTGAAGTTCCAGTTTTTAGCGGCACGAACACGGAAATTTGACAATTTATAATACATGAATTTTCAAGTGAAAATAAATATGCAATGCCAAATTCCCTTGAATTTTCCTGATTTTTCATTGAATTCCTCGGAATAATTAAACTGAGATTTACAGTTCTCACAGATTTCTCCCTGAAATTATGAATTTTCAATGACTAAATTATTTGAAATTTCAGTGGAAATATAACGTGTTAGAAATTCCCAAGATTCTTACCGGAAATTTCAGTAAGAAAGTTTTAACACTGTACATTGTTAAAAAAAATTTACTGAATTTTCTGGAAAAAAAACCTTGAATTTGATTGAAGGAAAAGAAGTCTATGGAATTTAAAATTTCTCTAAACATTTAAATTCCACAATTTACATGAATATTCACGTGAAAATGAATATTCACTGTCGAATGCCCTTGAATTTTCAGGGAACTTCATCAGAATTCTTGAAATTCCAAGAATTTTTGAAGGAATTTCCTGAGAATCCAGAGGGAAAGAGGAAATTTCATAATTTTTTATTAATAATCCCGGAGTAATTAAACGGAAAATTACTGTTCCCACCGATTGTTTCATGGAATTAGGAATGTTCAATGCCAAATTGAAAAAAAATTGAAATTTTCGTAAACATGTTATTTACAGAATTTCCCAAGATTCTCGGTGGGAATTTCAGTGGAAAATTTTTAACAGTGTGGATATCATTATAGTGTTTAATCCCACATTATTAAATTGAAACTTGCACCATTTAGATGATCGCTTGATAGACGGCAAAAATTATCCGGTGTGTTTCACGGAAACTTAAAGAACTTGATAGTGAATCTTTAAAATAGTTCGGATGATACAGTAATACGAGCAGACTGAATAAAATTTGTGCATCGAAGTGTTATACATAATTCAGTATAGAGCCTGGCAACACTGCTTTGGACTGAGTAGTATAGTATTTTAAATTCGTGAGGATTCTACCAGGTACACAATCATTTTGAGTTCCTTTCTCTAATTCACGTAAGTAACTAAATTATTTATTCGCAATATGAATTATCATAACCCAAAATTGTTATCATAACTCAAAAATATAAGAAGTCAAAACCTATCATTAAATGTGGACGTTCGCATGAAAAGGAACAGAGAATAAGTTTCTCGTTTCCAGTAGCAATCTCTGGATTTCAGTGGAATTTTCACTTTTTGTAAGAGAAGTTTCTCTGAGAATTAGTGAAAAAAGTTCTAGTTGTCGTTAGTTTTCACTGACATCAAGTACCAACGGTACTTAGATCAAGTCACATTTCTCCTTAGTTCAAGGTAGTTTGGTTCTGGGATCCAGTACTTTGTATTTCAGTGATTTTTTCATTGAAACTGCACAGAGAAAAAATTTACTGGTTTCCATCAAGAACCGTTGGGGCCATTTGGAATTTATAACATTAGGAGTTTAGTTTTTGATATCCCATCATAATTAAGGATATCCAAGTATCTTTTATAGTTTAATACAGATCACACTATACATTCAATTATTTTCAATCATCAAATTTGTCAATTAAATTGCGTGAGAAAATTCTTAAAAAGCATAAATATTCAGTGTCATTCAAATTGCATTTTGCCGAGGATTATTATTTTTTTAAACATTCATTGCTTATAAATTAATAATTGAAGTTGTTTAAACTTTCAGAAACATTATTTTTTTGGGCATGAAATCGATTTCTGGTAAAATTCTGAACATGAATAAATTTGTTACGATTCTGAACGCATGACTTTTATGGTGGAAAAGTTATTGTTTATAAATTATTTATAGAAAATGCTCGTTATTTTCAAAAATTGCCATTTTTAACTTATTTCATCAATCTTTCACTAAAAGTAAACTTTCCAATATTTCGTCAGATTTTGAATCATGAAATTTGTTGATTAAATAACGTGAGAAAAATTTGAAAAAATCATGAATATTCAGCGTCATTCAAATTACAATTTGCACAAAATTATTATTTTTTTAAACATTCGTTGTTTATAAATAAATAATTGATGCTGAATCTTCGGAAACCTCATTCTTCTGGGCATTAAATCGATTTCTGGTAAAATTACGAATATGAATGAATTTGTTACGATTCCGACCGAATGACTTTTATAGTTGGAAAATTCATTGTTTATCAATGATTTGTTTCCTATTTTTAACGGAATTTGTCACAAGACGCTTGTGACTGGCCATCGCCCGAGGGCCTTCAACCTGCTATTTACAAATGATATACAATGTTTTGATTATAGAACACAGAAACAAAACACCAGTGTAGATAAATGATTATTTCAGATAGCTGATAGTATTGTGTGGTTGAATAGGACAGATAAGTTATTTTACGTTATCGTGGATGAAATCAGAATGAAACAATTTGAAGGATGTAGTCATGGTTAAGGAAGTAGAGAGTTATTGTTGTAATTATTACTATCGGATGATGTTATTGGGAGTGAGTTATGCCTCCCCAATTATCATACCGTATTCTTCTGTACGAGTTTATAAATTAATTATAGAAAATGCTCGTGATTTTCAAAAATTGCAATTTCTAATTCATTTCATCAATCTTCCCCCAAAAATAAACTTTCCCATTTTTTGTCAGATTTTTAAAATGTTCTCTAACGGTTCAATATCAAGATTCAAATTCAAATCCTCAAAGTTTAAATACTAAAATCATTGTAAAATATCCGGAAACTTAGGGTCAAACGGGGCTCCAATAGAAGCTCCGGTGTTCGACAACAAAAGTAGAAAAGCATTTCACTGAAGAAAAAATAGCCAAAGTACTTGGATATCCTTAAAGTAAAAATCGATGTGCCGTCGTGTGAATTACTCATCGTGATATAGTACGCAGACATGTCTATAATCAACGCTTCTGAGGTGCGCGAAGAGAGCGCAGGCGAGAAGACAAGGGGAAACACCGAAGGAGAAATGGAATATTATATGGGGAAGCAGTGAATGGGTAGTGGATTTTGGCGTGGGATCGCGTGCGCAAGTGCCTCCACTAGCGTTTAGAGTCCCGTGTAGCGTCCCGGCGTATAAGTTGCAATCAATGAAGCTACGATTCACCTGACAGTGCCGTAAATGCCGGTTCGTCGGGTGGGCGCTAGGATGATCGTAAAAATATCATAAAATGGATTTTTTATCGCTTCACTTTTTAATCATTGTAAAAACTTGGCGAAGCTTATGTATTGATTTATTCTTTTCAAGGCGTTCACGTCGGGTGATTTATTAAATTTTTTTCTCATTTCTTTTCGTACAATGAAAATTCTACTTTTGATTCTTATAATTCTCGGGAATGATAATCATATATTCGTAATGCTCGACGAACGATTCGATAATATTAATGATGATTTTCGCGATGAGAATTTCGTATTCGGATTTTTTCTTTAATTAAAAAATTGCCAGTTTCGCAATTTTTTTAACATTATTCACGTCTCATTGCTTCTGATAATAATTATTTGATATTCCAGTTTTTCGATACTTTCAGTCATTGACGTTATTTACACGTTCATATTTGTTGTTCGTCGATGAATGGAAGAATTGATTTATTTAATCAGTAGAAAAAATCAACGATCTGTCTTATTGTTTTTCGTTATTGACGTTCGATGAGATTTAATGATTTAATTAATTGAATCAGACCGAAAAGATTCCGGATAATGAAAAGAGAATGCACATTTTTTTTAAAAAAGGTGTTTCTTCGAAGAATTGTTCTTATTCCTTTTTTATTTTATATTTTTCTTGCTTCCTCCAATTCAGACCCGGCTGGTGCTGCATTCTATGAGGAATCAACATAAATAAACAAAAGTTGATAACTTAATTACTAGAGGAAACGAATTTCTCATGATTTTAATTTGAATTTCTCATGGCTATTAACATATCATAAAATGGGAGGATTTCGATACATCGGATTATATTAAAAATTTGTAAAGTGATGATAAGAAATCATCGCACAGCAGATAAATATGTTGAGAATCTGCCGACCGATGTTATCATATCATCAATCGCTAATCCCTGTTTACTTCCCTCGGTTATTCCCATCTGACCGCTGGCCCCTGTATAGTGTCAACACATCAGTGATAACAAGAGATCACGATGCAAATACCCGGAAGATTAGAGAAGTTATTCAGTGCACGACTGGACCCGTTGCCATCCACGTCGTTCTGATAACACGAGGCTGAGGTTTCCATTTTTTTTTCTCTAGGTGGATAATTTGTTTATTCAAATATGTGGGGGTATTTGGGGATTTTGACCTTGATGTACCTGACTGGCATCAATGGTGACTGGCATGCAGATTTTGGACCCTGGTTCGTACCTACTGAGGGGGAACCCTGGCCTTCGGTTAATATGAGAAATCTGCAGGATGGATCTTTAATTCTCAGACCGTCTACTTTTAATATTAAAGTGAGTCTTTTGTAACAATGTGACAAATTACTGAATAAGAAATCGGGCACAATTTAGAATGCTGGAGTTTCACGCGCTCATTGTCATTTTAGATAATTTATTGGTGATATATTTTTAGGTAATTCATGGAATCTTATAACGGTTTATGGAATTTATTAGAAACTTTAGCGTTTTTGTGTAAATTGTGTTATGAATAAATTTTAATTATCAATCTATTGCACTATCTTTATTATAGGATTGGGATTTTTCAAAATTATTTACACGGAGCAAATACAGCAAGTAGAGGAGCGCGGGGCAAAATGAAACCGTCGAAAAACGTCTGTTTGACGCAATTCAAGCAAACAAAAATTTAGTTTATTGAATATTTTTTTATGAACTTTCTTTTACGAGATCGGCCGCGCGTGCTGCGCACGCGCCTTCTCATCTCTTCACGTAGTGGCGCTTCGGTTTCAGTCTTACGCTTCCGCTTATTCGAGATTTTCGAGATATTTCGAGATCGATTTCCTTTCTCCTTTTTACGATAGGATTCTTGGTACTGATGAGAATAATAATTTTCCATTCCGTAAAACGAAAAAAAATATTGAGAAGTTGCGACGGGCGTGAAACTTTTGGACATTTGTTTGTCTCCGAATTACTTCGACCCCTGAATCCTTTACCACTCATCACGATTCATTAAAAAATAATCCCCTCAATTATTCTTTCCCAGTTGAATCAAGATTGCGACATCCTCAGCGAAGCCAAAAGTAGATACATGAGCATAATCTCAGCGGAGGGTCATTACGCTCGCCTGAAATTCCCGAAGCCCAAAATCAGGCGATCACTTCGTGCAGATCTAACATTCAAGGGAGAACTGGAGACCCTCGACATTCGTGTGGCTGGTGCCTGCGAGGTGTTACCGTACCTCCACATGAACGAAAGCTGTAAATATTTTACTACCTGCAAGCCCGAGGCAGAGCCATAAAGTTTTATCACTGTTAAAGCTTCGGCATTGGCCCACAAATGGGCTAAGAATATTTTTCAATTGGTTGCAATATACAACATGCTAATACTCGTTTGAGAGAACGTTGCTGTAGTCGATTTGTTCTGGAATTGCCTACCTACGAGGGTTGTGCTATTTTCATCCCTCGCAATATCGATTTCTGATACTAATTTTATTTATTGATTTTATTGTGCTTCAGATAGCCTCACGATTATTGGAAAAACAGCTGATTTACTTGCACCTTCTGTGTGGGGCGCTCTTCGTGGATTGGAGACGTTCAGTCAGCTGCTGGTTGCTTCTGGTCAAGGCGCAAATGTAAATAAATTGCAATTTTGTGATTATTGTCATTGATAACAACCACAGAAAATTAATGAATTTCAATGGCTTCAGGAGGTTTTGAAAATTACATTTCAGTAGCGAAGCGGTAAACCGGGTTAACCCCTCGCGGGCGGAGCCTTTCTGTTACGAAACCTTACGTGCGCTTAATATCACTGAGATTCGATGAATTCTGATGCATGAAAAATTATAAAACGCATTAAAAATTGAAACTACACTATCCAGCTTTCGAATGGCATTGGCGGAATTGGATTATCTGTCACAGTTTTGGAATCATCCAATTTTGAACAGAATCATGCGTTTTTGCTTGGGGTCAAGTCGATTTTGCCTATTGGTCAGTTTTTGACGAATATCTCGGAATCTAAAAGAGATAGAAAGATTTTTGTTATGACCTTTTTTATAACCCTCAATTGGCTTTACAAAAAAGGGCATAAGAAAAATTTTGCTATCTCTCTTAGATTCCAAGATGTTCATCAAAAACTGGCCAAAAGTCCAAATCGACTTAACTCGGCTTACCGGGTCGCTACTGAGTTTTTGCTACACTCGACAGTTTTAGGCTGGAATTTTCCAAGTGGCATAATTGACTCCTTGATTTTTCAAAATCTATATACCCCCTTATACCAAATGCGTAATACTAAAGGAAGCAAGTAAATAAATTAATAACTAAATTAATTGATCAATTTGAAATGATCTCGCTTTTTACTATTTTCCTATAAATTCCATCAATGTTAACTATATTTGTCTTATGATGTTTCAGTTGAAAATACAAACTCAAACGATTCTCGATGCTCCAAAGCTACCCCACAGAGGTCTACTCCTGGACACGTCTCGTCACTTTTTCCCAATCTCAGATATTTTCTTGACGTTAGATGCTATGTCTTACAACAAGTTGAACGTTTTCCACTGGCACATCATCGATGATAATAGTTTCCCTTATCAGAGCAAAGCTTTTCCTGAGCTTTCTGAGAAAGGTGCGTGGCTTCCTGGCATGGTCTACACCGCTGATGACATCAAACATGTGATGGAGTACGCGAGACTTAGGGGAATTCGAGTGATGCCGGAATTCGACTCTCCCGGACATGTTCGGTCTTGGGGGGAGTCACATCCAGAGGTGTTGACCACTTGCTACGGTAAAGAATATATTTTGTAGTTTTTTTCCCAATATTTCCCTTACACTGATAGAAAGGATTAGTTATTGTTAACGAATGGATTTGGTTGAAGACGAGGGTCGATTCGATCGCACCAAATGTTCATTCGTTAATAGGTAACAAATGCACATTTGAGGAGCCTTGTGTGACTCGATTTTCACTTTTCAAGTGAACCATTCGTTAACTGTTAACGAATATTCATTTGGTCATATTCAACTCTACCATTCGTTAATAGTTAACGAATCTCGTTTGGAATAAATGAACCAGTCTATCAATGGAAGAGTGTGAGAAGTTTATGATATTCATCAAGGTCTTTGTATTTTGCGTCTATCAATGGAAGAGTGTGAGAAGTTTATGATGTTCATCAAGGTCTTTGTATTTTGCTTCCGGATGGAAATTTGGTGATCGTCCGACTTTCACATTTTCTAATTTTGATTGGAAATGATGTAGAATGGTCTGAAATGTAAGAATACAAAATTTGGCGACTATGTCTGTATGTGAACACGTTCACCGCCAGTTTCTCGGTGGTCAATTTTTAGAAAAGCCAGTAAGCGAGTTCCACGTTAACATATGCACATTTGAGGAGCCTTGTTTGACTCGATTTTCACTTTTCAAGTGAACCATTCGTTAACTGTTAACGAATATTCATTTGGTCATATTCAACTCTACCATTCGTTAATAGTTAACGAATCTCGTTTGGAATAAATGAACCAGTCTATCAATGGAAGAGTGTGAGAAGTTTATGATGTTCATCAAGGTCTTTGTATTTTGCTTCCGGATGGAAATTTGGTGATCGTCCGATTTTCAGATTTTCTAATTTTGATTGGAACACGTTCACCGCCAGTGTCTCGGTGGTCTCTATAAGATGCCTCGCGCTCCAAGCGCCCGAGACCTACCCCCACTCTCGGCACTTTTATCGCTTCTCGAATGTTTATGTTCCGTGAGCTTCTCATAAGATACCTATGGCCCCGGTTATTTCTCAACGGGACGAGAGTAGTTATCAGGATCAAATGGGAGGGACGAACGAAGTGATCATGAGGGTCTAATGACCTTAAGGGGGGTCCCACCTTTTTTTCAAGTAATGGAAATATACATCAATATTTTTTCACTTTTCCCATCGAAAAATCGTAATTTTTCGTCTGCGACTATTCTCGAGTCCACCAACAATCCACCACTAAAACACTAATAACATATAAACACATATTGTTCTCCTCTAGGGCGCGCAAAGTGGGGGCATAGTGGTTCCCGGAATTCCATTCTCCTACTGTCCCTAAGGTATCTTATACGAAACCTCTACTGTATTCCCGTTTTTCTATTAAAATCCTTGTACACTCTTGATCTTGTGCAAAAAATAGAGCTATCGACTCGTTTTAAATCATTTTTTTTATTTACTTCTTTATTTATTTCCATGAGCTACAAAAAAGTCTTCTGATGGTTTTCAATGAATCTCCTAGTGTCGAAGAGATTTTCTGAATTATAGGTTCCACGTTCTTAAATTTATTCATTCATTCATTGCAGACACAACTGGATTACCCAATGGTCGTTTGGGCCCCATAAACCCCAGCAATGAGAAAATCTGGCCCTTCCTGAAGACTCTCTTCAACGAAGTGATGGAACTCTTCCAGGACAAATACATTCATCTGGGGGGTGACGAGGTTCCCTTCGATTGCTGGCAGAGCAACCCAAATATACGTGCTTTCATGGCTAGCAAAGGAATGGGAACTGACTTCACACGTCTCGAGAGCAGTTACATTGCAGAACTCTTGAAGATTCCTGCTGCGCAGAATAAGAGTTCTGTCGTTTGGCAAGAGGTAATTTCTATAGAAATGAGATAATCATCAACTTCAGAAAAATTTCAACGATATCATTGCACATGTGCTGATAATCCATACAGTAATAAGATTTCGTGAGGATATGAACCAAGAAAGGTTATTCTGATTAATTTATCAATATTTTCGAACTGCGGAGGTTTATCACGGTACATCACGAGAACTTTCTGTCGGAACTCTCCTTCTCTCTTCCCTCCATCTCATCCTTGAAGGCGATTCTGAGGGGGCACCTTACACTGAGAGAAAAAATTAGCTCTGCCGAAAAGATAAATGTTCACCTGTACAATTTTTTTTTGAAAATTCTCGGTTTTCTACATTTTTTTTTTATATTCCGGCCCTTTCTGCCCTCTGATTGGCTAATCGGCCCTATCCAACCCTATGCATGCGGCTGTGGATTCTACGCTGCACCGCATTCGCACTCCTATAGACCATAGGAGTAGCATGGGAAACCACAGAAACCCATGCCGGTACAGGCGGTCACTATATTAGCGACCTCCCGCTCGCCGGAGCCTGCGGTTGAAAAACTCGGTTCCACGGGGAATCGAACTCACAACCTTTCGCACACTAGGCTCGCACATAGCCGCTTCGGCCACCGACGTCGGTTTTCTACATATTAAAACGCGAAAAATTGGAAATCAAGATGAAATAAATTGACTCATTTTCTTCACCATCACCACATTTTCCAAACTGTTTCACGCTCATCTCATCCAAGAGAATGTCAAACATTTTATTTTTCCATCTTAAGCATATAATGCTAACAACCAATTGAATATTGAATTACCTATTATCTTTTCGCTTATTTGCTGCGTTTTATACATTGTACATATGTAACTCATAAATACCAGGCTGAAGGCCCTCGGGCGATGGCCAGTCGCAAGTCTCTTGCGACGAATTCCGTTAAAAATAAAAAAAATAAAAAAATAAAAATTAATTGACTCGGAGGCATCACGAGAGGAGTCGATATTGTGTATTTTGAGCAATCTCAACGAGAGCAAAGATTTCCATCATTGAGATCGAGACCATCTCTCCAAAATTTGTCTCGTGATGTCTCATGAAATGTCTCGCGGCATCACTAGAGGCGTATCCTGAACCTAATCCTCACTCTTGGAACCCTTGATTTCGAGTCTTAATTTTTCATGTTATTCTTTCATTTCCTAAAAACATCATTTTTTCACGTTTCATAAAATTCTACATCATTTCCATGCAACATTAGAAAATGTCAAAATCCAACCAATACAATGCTTCCATTCGAAAGTAAACAGAAAGAGACTAATAGCGCAAAAAGTAACGGTTACATGACTTTTCTTGGATAGACTCGAAATTATGCTTGTTTGTTATCAGGTTGTTATCAATTGTTGTTTGTTATCAGGTCTTTGATAACAACGTGGAAATCACATCAGACACAGTGGTGCACGTTTGGACGGGTTTGTGGTCTAAGGAGCTGGCGAGTGCCACAAAGAAAGGACACCCAGTGCTGTTATCAGCCTGTTGGTACCTCGATCACGTCGCAGGGGGTGGGGATTGGCAGAAGTACTACAGGTGCGATCCCCTTGACTTCAGTGGCTCCGATGTCAATAAACATTTGATGTTGGGAGGAGAGGCTTGCATGTGGAGTGAGTTCGTCGATTCGACTAATGTTCATCAGAGAATTTGGCCTCGGGCTAGTGCAACTGCCGAACGTCTCTGGAGCGAGGGCGTTGATACCACGGAACGTGCAGCCAAGAGGCTTGAGGAACACACCTGCAGAATGAGGAGGAGGAAAATACCTGCGCAACCACCAAATGGACCCTCTGTTTGTTATGGTTGAGAAGTTGAAAATATTCTTGACTATTTATGTAAGAAGGCGTTTGGAGCAGCAAAAATTTTAATGATTGAGAATAGGGTATTTTTGGATGATGACAATTGTACAGTAGTTCAACACAGGTTTAGGTATTTCAATTATTCTGAGATGGCTCAACTATTTTTTACATGCGAGTCGGCGCCTTGCTCATGTTATTCGTAAAAAAAACTTTGCCGATTTAAGAAAAAGTTCTCTCAATTTTGGAAACTGCAGTTAACTGGATTGCAATTGCAATGTGCATTTTCATAGGATCTAGAAAACTATTTCTCAGTGCTAAGGAGGATGGATCAGATCAATCATTAACCCCTCAAGTACGACGCCCATATTGCGCGGTGTGTCCTCATCGGCCAGCGGCCTCCCGTCTACTCGAATTCGCTGTTCAATACGCAAGAATTTCTACACTGACGATCAAAAAATTATCATCTACAATTTAATGATGATCTTGAGCTTTCACCAATAGATTGCTCGATTACGGTATTCCTTTATACAGATTTTTCTGGAATTTTTAATTTTCAAATTCGATAATACAAATGGTTGCCAAGATCGCACCCATGAAAAAATATATGAAAAATATATATAATAAGGGCCAATTTCATATATTTGTCTTATTTATAACGAATATAGAAAAAAAATATATGAAACATATTTTTGATATTTTTTTAATATAAATTAGGCCAATTTAAGATATGTTTTTTATATATTTTTCAAAATATTAATTTTTCCGTGTGGGCGGCGATTGTCGGAAATTTGTTAATAACACATCAGTAATTCACTGAATCGAAATTTCGTTTGCGCCATTCGATAAAGGAATGTATAGAGTATGTTCGCTAAAAATTTCAGAATTTTTTATGAAAATTAGCTCGATAAGAGGTTTTTCTACGCATCTGACATCGAATTCAGTTCCGTATTATTTATGTATTGAAGAAAAATATTTTAAAAAACTTGAAAAAAAATTGAGTTGCATTGAGGGGTTAAAAGTATGGTTGATTCAACAAGTTTCTAGAATTAATGTGAAGAAAGTAAAAAATAAAGCGGAGGAATATTCCCGGACCGATAGATAAAAACTAATTCAAGTTAAATTTATTTTAAAAGAACGGGTGACGAACGTCGGATTTTTTTTTGTTTTCGTGTTTTGAGGGTCACAAAGGCCAGATGCGATATGAAAACGTCACATGAGATAGAAACGTAACATGAAACGTCATTGTTTTTTTATTACTCATTTTAATGAAAATATTCAAGATTTAAACTCAAAATCGATGAAAAGGAAATTAATTTAGCATTAATGTAACTAATTCTTTTCTAGCAGCAATCTAGGTATATGATATGATTCATCATCGGAAGAATAATGCATATAAAGAAGATGCCTTAACAGAATCTATCTATTTTTTTCCAACTTCCTTAAATTCTTCTCTGTGTAGGGTTAAATCATTTTCTAAGCTGTACCTCGGCAGCTGAATTGCGGCCAGGCTAGAGCACCAGTCCGGCAAACTGAAGATGTGGGATCATACTCCACCTGAGTTCAAATGCGTGTGCCTCCGAATTTTTTGATTTGTGCATTGATAATTATTTTATTGTTTCCCTCATATAGTAGTCCGGAAGGCTGATGGATAGTATATGGCATCCTGCTTTCTGTGTAATTTGTACCTTAAAAACATCTAAGGTTGATCGAGTAGATAGCCCGGGGGTAATATAGAATAGTGTAGCGTTCCACTTTTCCCTCCTGCATTTCAGGATGAAGTTGATTATTTCCAATGCAAAAATAATCAAAAATATTATTATTTCATCTTTCATCACTGTCTTTTATAATTTTTCGAGTGGCAGCATGGGGTGAACGATAATTAACTCTCTGAGGCGACTGGGCGTTTCCACACTCTACGCACTTTCCGGAAGAATTGCCCGTCCCCACTCCGCCGGACACAGGCCGACTTTTACCTTAGAGGGTTAAAGACCTTGATTCAAAATTTTTTTCCCAACAAATTACGTTAAATGACTGATGGATTTAAGTTTGCAGAAGGAGAGGTGCCCCATCCATTTTCGAGCGCTTGAATCCATGTTATGAGAAATATTTTAGAGCAGGCTCAACATAGCGAGTGTCTTTTTCTGAGCGTGATGGCGGTTTGTTTGCACCTATTTACTCAATTTCCCGTTAATTTTACTTGCTCGACTGTGATTGGTGTACGCGTATATGTCTTCTATGGGCGGTGACCTTGAGCCACCGGGAACTTCGGAAATGAGCGAATTTCTTAAAAATTACCAGAACTGCCGCTAGAGAGCTACCCCATGGTAAAAAGGGAGGTACAAATTCCATCACTAGGCGTTTGTACCTCCCCGATGGCGTTTATAAGAAAAATGAGGGAAGTGACGAATTCTCTCTGTTCAAATTTGCTTCACAACGCCGCCTTACCACCTTCAGGCATTAAATAAATGTATAAAGGCATAGTGTGATAATTAAAAATGGATGCGCATATAAGTGCGTTAAAAGGTCACTGCATTCATGTAATAAAGAGATTATTATTTAATTGAAATCTAATTGAAATAATGAGAACGAAAGAATGATTCGAAAAATAAAAAAACAAATTGAGCATCATGTTTTCTTTGTTTTCTTTTGACAGCCGTTTTGAAATTGAAATAAGCTAAATTATCAGGTGAGAAATTGATATCCTGGAAAAATATTGAAGATTATAACTAGATTGAGTCTAAATTAATTAGTAGGGACGAACGCAACCAATTTCTATCTTCAAATAAACAAGTCATAATGAGGTAAGTATCTTCGATTCTTCCTACTAATGAAAACTGAAGACAAATACTGGTGATAATTGATAATACGATTGGATTTGTCTATTCACGGATTGAAGGGAGTGCTGCGGATCTCCAAATCGGCCAGCAATTTCGATAATTAAAAACTCCGAACCTTCACAAATATGTCCTCCTCTTTGCTTCGCCTGTCCGTTGACGTGTTCAAGACCTGCACTCGGACCCAAACCAATAAAAACAGAGGTTGGTTTTTCTAAAATAAATAGTGAGCAACCAAATACCTCTTGAATTTTTAGATTATTCTGGAAATATCTTTACCCTTCGATCACTCGCGCTCGGCCGCCGGCCTTCATTTGTCGCACGGTTAGTGAAGCGCCGAAGGGTTAAACCGAGCGCACTGTTGCCACCTTGGCGCTTACCGCTATGCGCACATTCCGAATGTGGCAGTGAATGTCGCAACACTGTCGCTCGAGTGGTCGACAGGAACTCGCAACGGGCGGCGCGGCGCCGCTTTTCTGTCCGTTCGACGTTTCTTTCCTTTTTTTAACTAAACAAATTTCCCGAGGAAAAAGGGACAACGCCAAAGCTTAATAAAAGGATTGAACTAGGAACTCTAATTTTTTCAGAATTTTTAAGTGTAGAAAAACACGCTAAAATATAAAAAAACGAAAACTGGTGGCGCCGCGCTTTATTGAGCGAGTGATCGGGGGTTAAGCAGAGAACGCGGTGAATATTTCAAGTCCTCGTTAGAACTAGGGACTTATAGAGCCAATTTTTATATATGATGGGATATGTTATAAGCCAGAGAAATGACGCGCCCAATCCATTTTGCACCGTGAATCACCGGAAGGGAAAATTTTTCATTTCTACTTTTAAAATCGTCCAAGTGCCTCGGTTTTTATCCGATTGACAATTTTTTTTTAAATGTTCGTTAATCTCCAAAGAACAAAGATATGTATTTTACAACCCATTGAAGAGACCATGAAAAATTTAGAAAAAATGAAAAATTGAGAAACCAATGCGGAAGCAATAAACGAAGAAAAAAAATTCTCCAAATTTTTCATGATCTATCCAATGGATCGTATGATGGTTTCTGTTAGATTTTACAACTTCCAGAAAAATTACGTGACTTTTTCGTATTTTTTCGGTGACAGACCCGAAAATTTACTGAACGTTTCAGATTTATTCTCTTATATTCCTATAGAAATTCACTGAAAACGATTCTCGCTTGCGGATTACGTGAAATGTTATTTTAATTATAGTAATTTAGTTATTTAATTAGTTATTTATTCAATTAATTTAATTTCAGTTATAAAACTGAAAAATCAATTATTTGAAATAATAATAATTCTTTTCAGTAAAATATAATGATAGTTTTTTTTTTAACGCGATTTTTCTTGAATATCTCTCTCCGTGTGCAATGAAGATGCCCTGAGATTGTTTTTCCGATATCATCACTCATTCATTACCATGACAATTCCACAATCGTACGAAATAACATTATTACAGTTGAATAATATAGCTGAAATAATTATGGTAAATGCGGTACAGGAGGTTGGGTGCTGAGGGGGTGGGAAGAGAACAAATTGTAAAAACCCAAAAGGGTATACGAAAGAACAAAAAAAAGCATAAAGATCTTTCCAGAATAATCGGTATGAAATTTTTATACTAGTCTGTCTCCAGCTTTTCCTCTCTTGCGCAGAAATAAGGAGATTTTCTTCATCTTCTTCCAGGTTTATCTTCGTCCGCATCCACTGTGCCCACCCTACTACCCCATGCCATGTCCCCCTAAAGTTCAAGTCATATCCATGCCAATGAAGCCTCCACCCCCGCCCCCTCCAGCTCAGCCAAGATACTGTGTCACAATAAAGAGGATTCCTGTGCGACCTCCTCCACCACCAACACCCCCTGTGTTTTCACCGTGTCGGGCGATTTGCAGTGAGTTTACGGAGAAAAAGAATTTCTGAGATTCAGAACAAGCTTCCAGAATTCAAAGTATTCTCTCTTGATATGAGAACAATTTTTCTCATAAAATATCGTGGCGTTCTTCGAATGCCAGTATATTTCCCTACCCCCACCATGCACCCAGATTTTCAAAATTTTATTGTCAGAGTCTTTTATATTTACGATCTCCTGGAACGGCGAAACAATTGCCCATTTCAGAAAATATCGATGTGTTTACAAGTCTTCACGCTGGCGACAAACAGATCGAGGGGAAATGGTGCTATAACAGGAGCGACTATAGCGAGTCTATACTGAGAGAAAAATTTCCTAATATGTGAACCATATGTACTTGAGAGAAGTAAATTATTTTCAGTGGCTTAAATCTGAGAATGTTTGCACTTCACGGAACTCGAAGAAATTCTCATTTATCACTATCGTTTCGCGTTATACATCATGAATATATTGCGTATTGAAACATTGGAGGTGCATAACAAAAAAATCATGAAAACAATAAATACTTGAAGATTGACGATTCTTCTAAGCGAATTGAATAAATTCACTTGGGACAGAATCATTGCTTAAATACAAGACCATTTTAACGCATGAGACTTTTGTCGGGCCACCTACGATGAGATACCTCGGAGAATTAAGTGATTGAAGAAGAATTAGTTGTCCCAAGTAAATATGTTTCACATATTAGATTTTTTTTCCGTGTATACTGTACGATGACATGGAATCTTACAAATAGTGATACTGAGATTGTCGAGAAATTCTTCCTTATATTATAAGAAAGATGACCTCTCTTCCTGCAATAGTTTCAGAAGTACAGCTAGAAAATTTAATTTGGTAGAATGAATTTTCGCTCTATCATAAAAGGTACGAGGGGGTGAAATGAGTGGTTTTTTCCTTATAATTTTACGTAGAATTTCCCTTGTTCTAAATAATGCCACTATCTGCAACTCTTGATAATGTCATTAATATAATGATATTATCATTGTCTTAAAACAGGAGAAATGAAGAAAAAAGTTTCTGAATTCTAGAACATTATTCAGGATGTCAAGGACTCATTTTCTACGTTCACAGTCGGATTTTGAACTATTGTTACATGATTAATTTCTGATTGACAGATGTATTTCGAATGGTAGAACAAACTACCTCCGAAGCCTGGCAACAGAGGATTGACTTGTGCACTCGGTGGATGATTAATCGATTGCTAATCGATCGTCGATCAATTGCTGATTGGTCGTCAGCCGATCGAATGTCGATTATCGGTCAATGATCATTAGTAATCAGTTAACGCACTGAGAGAAAAATCTGAGGTTCGATTTACAATAAGAAAATAGTTGCGGCAGTTTTGGTGAACGATACGATTTTTTTTTGTATGCGGCACATAACATTATAGTAATTTCACAAGCGTAATTTTTGCAAATCAAAATGCAGTTAAACTAGCCAAAGTTCAAAAGTAGCCACGACCAATCTATCGTGCGCAGAACTATAAAATAGTTGCAGTGACTACATTCCATTGTAGTAATCACTTCTCCGGCCATAGTTACCGTAACCCATGCAAAATTGTTGAGGACTTTTTGACTATAATTCGATGGTGATGGAATACAGTCAGACGAATCATATTTTTCTCTCAGTGCGGTTCACTGCGTGCATTATTCGACTCCCCGAATGAGTAATCAGTCAGGGAAATATATTTTTTTATTTATTTATTTTGGTTACGTGCCTGATTGAGTTAACAATAATCGACACTCACATTGCACGAGGGGGGGGGTAGTACATTACACGTAGAATCCTTTTTCATAACGTTGATTAACAATGAATGATTGTTTTGATTGTTAACTTTTTATTCGCCTTGCGATTGGTTGATGGATCAATCAATGATTTCCATGACTACGAGGATATTATTGTGCGTTACAGCGCTCACTTGAAGGTGGTTGCACGGGACAGCGCGCATGATTGCCTAGTTTAACAATAAAAATAGTGCAATAAACAAGCAGAGCACTTCTCAGAAATAACGAACGTATTAATCAACAGAAATCTCCCAAGTTTTTTTCTCTAAAATCTAAGGCTTCAAGCCAGAAGTACACTAGTTTTTTAAGATCTTTCGAATTTTTAATGTCCATAAGATTCGCAACAATATCCTTCTCAAAGTTTTCCATTATCACAGCTTTGAAATGTTTGAGTCTCAGCTCTGAGTAATGAGGACAATATACAAGAATGTGGGGAACACTTTGAGTCTCGCATTCGGTGTGACAGAGTTTACATACGGAAATATTCATATTTAGTTTTTGCTATATTTTTTAAATAAAAGGCTTTTGATCAGTTCATGTCGAGATATTTTTTGGCAAAAATTTCTAAACATGTAATTAATGGTCTTCTCCCAAATCCTTGTAAATGCTTCACGTGAATCATGAATCCCATGATCGTATCTTTCAATTGCCTTTTCGTTGTCTAACTGTGGAATAATTTTTTTCAGTGCCTTGCCCTCCTCCATGTCTGCCATCGAGTTGTTCCTGAAACTAAATTGACTGGGATTAAAAGAAGAAGAAAATCGAAAGAGATCCGCACTTTGACTCACGCTTGGGAGATCGCCCAGGTGCAAAGGATTAAGGCAACTAATGAACGTTAAAAAATTCCTGAAAGGAAGGCCAAGTGCAATAAAGTGGATTAAGCAAGGAATGTCTAATGGATTAAATGAATAATGCGGAAAAAAATGAAAAATCTTAAAAGCAAGGTCACGAATTTACTTGAAAAAAATTACATATGGTCATTTTGTTAACCCCTTAGGCACCGCATCAATACGATGTATCCACCCACCACTGGGGTCAATACGATACGAGGGGCTACTCACTCCATAATTGACACCAGTATTTCGAAATGAAATCGATTTGGGGTGATTTCAGCAATAATTTCAGTGATTTCGGATGAAATGATTGCGGTGATTTCGAGCGTCACGGGAGGTGATTTCATGATTTCGAATGATTTCATTAATTCGAAATCAGTGATTTCAGAAAAATAAAGTTAACAAATAATAGAGGTGAGGTAAAACGGCTTGTTCAAATTATGAAAATTAAAACTGGCAATAATATCTGGAAAATAATAACGAATTCATTTGATTCCACTCCACCAACCCTGAGCTAATGACGATGAAACGCGGTCAATTTTACCATTTTACTATGGCAATGAGTACGGCATTCAATATGGGAATTTAATTTAATTTGGGAAACGGTCCTTATGTGCAGCGCCATCTATCGGAATTCTAAAAAATTCTAGACATTTCGAGGTAATTCGAGAAGTTTCTTGAATTTTCTAAAAAATTCAAGGAGTTTCCAGAATGGTACGTTAGAGTACAAGGGCACAAATTTCGTTTTCGACGAATGTGAAAGCGAAGTTTATACCCGAGTGGTCTATGCTATTTTATGCCACATCGTGCAGAAGCCGAGTTTGAAGCACGCTGTGCGAAGCGCAGCGTGCGATAAACTCGACTTATTGCACGGCGTGCCATAAAATATGAAGGAATGTAAGGAGTTTATAGAAAATTCGAGAAAGAAGAAAAGACCATGGACGATCCCCGTTACAATTACAGCTAAAGATACAGCCGCCTGCAATTTTTCTCAAATGTTTTATAAATCAGTAATCAACTTCGCGAGAATGATGATTATTTGATTATTTGAAACATCAAATCGAGATATCTGCAATTAACAAACAATCTGCAAACAAGTAATTGTTTAATTATAATTGAGAATTAAAAATTATTTTCAAATTTAAATCGAAAAGTAAGGAACTGTGATTAACCTATGGTGAACTTCTTTTAAAATTACTCAGTAACAATTTTTGCCGATCCCCGACTTAGATATCCTGATTTGGAGGAATTTTTTCATACGTGTAGATGACGTAGCTTCGCGCATGCGCGTGGAACCAATGTTGTCAAGCATGTCAACGTCGGCAAGTTGATCCGTACGATAACTGCATTGTCCTTCAACATCTCCGAGAAAATTCTCAAAGAATTAACAGAAGATGTGCGTTTAAACAATCTAATCTCATTGCCATGCATCTAAGAATAATTTTCCAGCAAAATAAGTCCTCAAGTTTGATAAATTCCTGGTGAATTTCTATCCAAGAGCATCACATCGCCTGAGGTAAATATTCCCCGTTCATTCACCTCTCATTTTGAATATTAATTACGTAAACAAATGATTAAGTGAGCGACAGAGTACTCTATGATTAATTTCGATGAAATTTTCTTTTTTAGATTTAAGAATAGTTTAAAAATGCACCGACCCTCGTGGACGCTGATATTCTCCGGTGTTTTTTTGGGTTACATCGCCTACGCAATTTACAGCATTTCTCTACTATTTGTACCACCCCCATGTGAAGCAGGAAAACTGTGCCTGAAGTCCTACCTCAATTACAAACCTAAACTTCAGGTTCATTTATTCGCTTCGCCGAGTGCTAAACCCGCTCGCCACGAAGTTTATAGGATACATTCAGAGCTGGAGTTTGATTACAATGTACCTAAGGAAATGCCAATCAGCTTGCAGATTCCACCGAAAACTCGGCAAAATGGGACTTCATTCCTTCACATCATTGTTCTTCCAAAAGTGACTGAGAATAAACAACAGGATTATTCCTTTGTCAATTTACAAACGGTAATTATTATAGCTTAAGATTTAGCCTGGTTTGAAAAAAGGACTGCAAAATTTTATAGAAATAGCTAGCGCATTCACTAAAATGTTCTATTGGATTTCTACTACATTTCAATTGGAAATTCTATTCTTTTTTGGCCGAGTTTGATGAAAAATTAGATTTTCTGGGCGTTTTCCGCTAAAAAATCAATAGAATTGGATCTTCACGTATGAGAAAATTCAGTAGAAAAATTTAGAAAATTCTCTAGAAATTCTACTGGGATTCTATTAAAGTTCTAGGGAATTCTCGTTGAAATTCTATTTGTTTTTTGTGCGGATTCTATGAGATATTTGACAGCAAAAAATAAATAGATTTCGATTTTTCTATGTGAATATTCTTTTGGAATTTTTTCTATAAAAAAAAATACTAGAATACTTGGGCATGAATTTTCCAAGTTTTTTTCACTCGTATCCTGTAATGCAAAACATAACAAAAATAGCAAAAAAACGTAGAAAATCTCCACCCAATGATTTTAATAGAAAAAATCTCAAGAGAAAAATTCAAACTGAAAAATCGAAATCTATTCAGTTTTTTCTATCAAATGACTAATAGAATCTGCGCAAAACACAAGTAGAATTTTAACGAGAATTCTCTAGCATTTTAATAGAATCCTCATACAATTTCTAGAGAATTCCAATAGAATTTTCTACCGAATTCACTAAGGTTGTCTCTTGAATTTTTTCATACGTGTTTCTATACAACTTATTCTAGATTAAGGATATCCAAGTATCTTTTACAGTTTGGTACAGACTACACTGGTGGTGTATTACACTGTAATTCAACCATTTTCAATCATCAAATTTGTTGATTAAATTCCATGAGAAAAATTTGAAAAAAAATCATGAATATTCAATGTCATTGAGATTACATTTTGCACATTACATTTTTGACAATTCCGAACAAATGATTTTTCTGGTGGAAAATGGATTGTTTCTAAATTCTTCACGGAAAATGCTCATAATTTTCAATAATTGCTCAAGAGATATTAGTTTGTCGTTTTGGTTATTCAATAATCACAGAGAAAAAATGAATTCTTAAATGAAATGATGATAATAATGTAACAGCAATCTCGTAGCTTGTGACAAAATATTTCTTGATAAGGTTCCCTCTATAAAATATATTTTTATCCTGAAAAGACGCCGTCTTGTATGAATGATGAAGCAAAATATGTCGTTCTTGTTGAAAGCAGAAAAATTATTCATGTTTGAGACTTTCAAAGTAGAACCAATGAATTATGTAATGGTTTTTGGTAATTTTCAAACAACGATTTTGTAGGCCCAAACAAGACTTGCTCGAGAACTTGTTCGTTTTTCTCTCAGTGTACGGAATCTATCTATAGGATCGGCAAAAAGACTAAAAGAATTTTGCATGAAAATTTAATAAAAATCTAATAGAATGTTCTGGTAAATGTACTAGGCGATTCTATAAAACTTTTTGGCACATGGAATTATATCAACAATCATTGTTCAATTTCTAGGACCCATATGCAGTGATGACGAGAATAAAACTCACTCAGTTCGCAGTACCAGAAGCAGAAACCTTCAACCTCCTCGGTGATAAATCGACAAAATCTAAAGGATCTTCAAAGAACCGAGCGAAACCAGTCTCCCACTTGAGAAGTCGTGTTACATTTACTATGGTGACTGACGCTGAGGAACTTCCTGCACATAAAGTTCCGCATGAACTCTCGCAGAGCCTCAGGATCACTCGAGAGGGTGTATTCCTGCCAATAATCAATTACGATTTCCTCCAAACGAGACATCGAGACCTCGTGCAGATCAAACCTGACGATCATATCATGAATCTCACAGTTTCTTATGCTCCAACGACGATGGGGATGTTGAGACTCTTGCTCCAGGTGAAAGCAACCATGGAGAACATGAAATCACTTGGGTTCTCTGATAGAGATGTCGATGAAGTTAAGGGGATTTACGCGGACACGAATTTTTATTTGTTGGCTGGAACGATTTTCATCGCCTCCATGCACGTAAGGTCTTCATATCACGTATGAAACAATTTAAGGATATCCAAGTATTTTGGCTATTTTTTCTCCAGTAAAACGCTTTTTTACTTTTGTAGTTGAACATCAGAGTTTCACTTGAGCCCCATTCGACCTTAAATTTCCGGACATTTTACAATGATTTTAGTATGTAAACTTCGCAGACTTGAATTTTAATTTCGATATTGAACCGTTTGAAAACATTTTCAACGTCTGAAAACGAAATAGACGACTTCTGGAGGAACATTGATGAAATAGTTTAAAAATTGCAATTTTCTAAAATTATGAGCATTTTCTATCAACAACGTAGAAACAATCAATTTTCATATAAGTTTTCATATAAATTATTTGTTCGGAATCGTAACAAGTTTATTCATATTCGGAATTTTACCAGAAATCGATTTCACGTCTGAAAAAATTATGTTTCCGAAAGTTTGAACAATTTCAATTATTTATTTATAAACAACGAAGGTTCAAAAAATAATAATTCTGTGCAAAATGTAATTTGAATGACGCCGAATATTTTTATTCTATATTTTTTTTCAAATTTTTCTCACGTAATTTAATTGAAAAATTTAATGATTGAAAATGGTTGAATCTATAGTGTGGTCTGCACCAAACTGTAATAGGTACTTGGATATCCTTAATTTTCAAAATGATGCAAGAATTTATAGATGGTTTGAGGACATACTTGCGGACGAAATTAATATATAAATTCTATTTTTCAGCTGTTATTCGATTTCTTGGCGTTCAAAAACGACATCAGCTTCTGGAAGAGTAGAGGAAGTTTCGAAGGTCTAAGTGTTACGACTGTGATTTGGCGAGGATTCAGTCAGACAATCGTCTTCCTTTATTTGTTGGATGAAGGCTCTTCGCTCCTTGTGTTGATCCCCTCCGGAATTGGAACTTTAATTGAGGTATTTGCATAGATTGAAAAATTCAATTATTCAGTGATTATTTAAACTGGAGAACTCTCTTCCAATTCATGTCAATTAAAAGACATTTGATTTATCGATAAGTGAATTTTTTCAGATTTGGAAAATAAAAAAAGTTCTGAGACTTCAATTTACAAACAGTGGTGGGACAATTCCAAAATTAACGTGGAAGAAGGATAAAAAGAATGAGAATGAAGAGAACAAAACTCGTCAATTCGATGCTGAGAGCATGAGATACTTATCGTATCTATTGTATCCATTAGTTATTGGTGGAGCTGTTTATTCATTGTTGTACCAGCCACACAAAAGGTAAGGATAATTATCAATACTCCTTATGGAAGTATTCAATAATGAAGGGGTGAAACACAGACTGCCAAACATTTTTGGTTTGAAATTTTCGATCCTTTTTTTTTCAAATTTTTGTCAAGTGACAGCCTCATTAGCTAAATTAATTAAATAAGGTCATTAGTTGGCCTCATTAACATTTCGAAGAATTTTGTAATTAAAAATGCAAACTAACGGAAAAATGAATGGAACTGCCTATTTCAGTTAATTTATTTCATGAAAATTGACGAAAATCGAGAAAATGCAGGCAAATATATTTTTGAATTTTCAATTAAGAATTCTCTAACAAAATGAATACAATGTTACTCTTTTGAAAATTAATGCAAAACTGTTCTTGAAGTTTCGATTCAGTAGTGAAGTGGTAAACGGAGATCAGTCGACTTATCTCCCAGTTGAGTTTTTGAGGAATATTTCCAAATCTAAGGGAGATAGCGGAATCTTTGTAATTACATTTGTTGTAGCACTCAATGGGCTCCACAAAAAAGGTTGTAACAAAAATTTTGCTATCTCCCTTAAATTCCGAGATATTGATTGAAAACTGGTCAATAGTCAAAATTGACTTATCTCCTTTTACCACTTCGCTACTGAATTTTATTCTAATAGTACAGAGAAACGTAGAAAATACCGCCATGAACTCAGTTTCTGCCCCCGTCAGAATTGAGATCGATATGATACTCGATAAATATTATTTCTCATTCAAGATTTGAGATGTGGTAAAGACAGAGAGAGACAAGACAGTTTGATTATTCTTCTATTTTTTTAAATTTTATTTTATTTCCTGCATGGGGAATCGAATTCCGGAAAAATAGACCACAGAAAAAATAGACCAAGGGAAATTTTTGAGATGGGTGACTTTTAACACATTTTGGGTGTGTGGGATATTTTTTCCTGGTCTATTTTTTCCGCCCACCGTTGTGGCCACCTATATGAACACATTTTCTGTCACTTTTCTCACTTTCCGTGTGGAGTAAATGAATAAATAAAAGATAATAGGTCAGATTGTTGACAGTTTAATGATAAAATCAACAAAAATAATGTGAAACAATGATATTTATCAACATGATAGACGAGAATATATGAAAAAACGGAAAGAATACATAAAGCAAGATTAATAAATAGAATAATTCTCTCGAAAAAAAATCTCTTCAAAACAATCTCCAGCAATTTCTCTCTAAACCCACTACAAAAAGAAAATAAAAATGTATTCAATTTTTCAATTCATCTCCCATCTATCATCACTTGACTACAAAATTGATTAATTTTTTAATTACTTAACATGAAAATTTTTAGCTGGTACTCCTGGACAATAAATTCTCTAGTGAATGGAGTCTACGCCTTCGGATTCCTCTTCATGCTGCCACAATTATTCGTCAATTACAAACTGAAATCAGTAGCGCACTTACCATGGCGTGCATTCATGTACAAAGCCTTCAATACTTTCATCGACGACGTTTTTGCATTCATTATAACGATGCCAACGTCACACAGGGTAGCTTGTTTCCGCGATGATATTATCTTCCTCATTTACTTGTATCAACGATGGTGAGTATTCAGAAAGAGAATTTTATATGTGAATAATTCCCTCATTGATATCACTCCGATTATTTCGGAAATATCTCTGGAAATTGTGAATTTAAAAAATAATGTCCTTTTTTGTCGCCCGTTAATGTTAAAATTACTTCGCAAATTAACACGGAAAGATAAATTAATAGACTGTCCTCCCGTTTTTTTCTAATTATGGAAATATTTCAACGGTGAAGAATTTTAAGAGGGACCCTCATTCTAGGACACATTTCTTCTAGTTAATTACATTTCCCACGAAAAGTTTTGTAAAATTTCTGTGCAGAACTTTTTCTTAGAAAGATATTCATAAAATCATCTGCATTGAATTACTTGAAAAAATACGGCAATCATTTTTCCCTGATAATTCTTTTATCTATGAGTTTCACTAATGTTGAAAAATCTATAAGTTTCATTAATCTTTTAGTTTTTTTAAATGAACGTGTCTCAGCGATGGAGAATTTTAAAAGGAACCTTCATTCTAGGACATCTTTGTTCTAGTTAATTACATTTCCCACGAAAAAGCTTTCTAAAATTTCTGTCTAAACCTCTTTCTTAGAGAAAGATATTTATACAATAATTTGCATTGAATTACTTCAAAAACGACAAGAATAATTTTTTCCTGATAATTCTTTTACCTATAAGTTTCATTAATGTTCAAAATGTTCTTCTAGGCTTTATCCAGTGGATAAATCTCGTATGGACACCACAACGATCGTCGAAGAGCCAACGATGCCTTCAGGTCGTACCAAAAAGTCTGATAAGAAGAAAGACTAAAAACCACCACAAGACTTGATTTTAACCATTCCGATGTAGCTGTTTCAAACTGTTTTTAATATTTATATTGAATTGTTTAATAAAAACAATGAGCAATTTAAATTCAACTGGTTTCTTTATTTGTTAAACAACTGTCGTTCTGTTGGGATCATCGTTTTGACTAATTTGTGTTGATTTTGGTCTCTCGGCAAGACAGCGAATTTGTAATTGCATGGATGAGGTCACTTTGCTGAGGAGGGCCTCGATGCGAGAGGCGTCAGTTGCGTTTTTGGGAGGTGGAACAGCATCTAGAGCTTCTTCGAAAAATGTGCTGCAGAGAGAAATATATTTGAGGAAATTAGAAATGTATTTTAAGTTAGAAGAACAGACATTTGAAATTATAAAGTTATGTAAAGCTACGCCCCCCCCGTGCTCGCTCTATTCGCCAAGCCTCATGTGACCCTCATGACCCTTATGACCCTTAATCGGAGTCTTAATTTCGACCCTCTTGACTGTTCAATTTTGACCATTAATTTTGAAGTCTTAATTTCGAATACCAAATTTTCATCACTAGAAGTCGATTTGTGATTTTTATAATGTAGAAAGATGATGTTTCCAGTTTACAAATCAATGAACTGGTGAAATCAATGCACTGGTGGAACGTAACGAGTCAATTTTTACATCTTGTTGGAACAGACTCGAGCTAGCGGAGCACTATAAATATAATTAACCCCGCACGGACGGGACCCTTTTGTTTCCAAGCGTGAAGTACGCTCCATACGAGTAAAATGTAATGACTTCTAATCACCGGAAAATTATGAAACCGATATGTAATTGAAGCTACAATGTTCCTTTTGTCGTTGTTATTTATTTGGTTGAGTTAAATTCCATAATTTTGAAAATAATCAATTTTAAAGAGAATCATTCATATTTTCATGCGTTGGTGCATAGCAACCCCATACGGTGACCCCTTACGTGAGGGGTTAAACTCCAAAATCAGACAGCGATTGCAAATCGTTGGGTGGCCAATGGTATCTCAAGACCAAAGGTCCAACGATTAAATTCGCATATGAGGTTTGAAATCATGCTTACATGAGTACGAAATAACCATCCATATTAATATAATAGGGGATTCAAAGAGGTTTGAATTCAATTGGAGTTTCCCAGTCACAATTTTGAAATGAATTAGTGGTCATGGTTGTACCTTGCAACCGGTTGACTACATATAATTATCGGAATGGGAGTGAGGACGGACATTACCTTGCTCGAGGTGTGCTATAAATTGACAGAGCATTCCTCAGTAATGTGATGTCAGCTCGTGCTTGAATAATTCCAGAAGGCCCGAATTTCCTCACACAAGACATCAGCCTCGCCAGTTCCTCTGCTATTGTTTCAACAATGTGAGATAACACTCGTTTTAAGAGGCCAGGGGACACTCTCGTGACCTAGAGAGTGATGAAAATTTGTTTAGTGCTTGGTGAATTTCTGAATTTTATTCTGTCATTCTTCATATGCAGCATTTTTTGAATATACCTCTACATAATAGCTTTAAAGAAGAATCCCAAAAGAATATTTTCACGTAACATCACTGTTGGAAAGAAATTGAGTAGCGAAGTGGTAAAACGGTTTAAGTCGACTCATCTCTCAGTTGAGTTTTTGAGGAATATGTCCGAATCTAAGGGAGATAGCAAAATTTTAGTTGTTATATTTGTGGTAGTTCTTAATCGGCTCTACAAAAAAAGTTTTAAAAACATTTTGATATCTCCCGTAGATTCCGAGATATTCATTGAAAACTGGTCAACACTCAAAATTGACTTGTACCGTTTTACCACTTCGCTACTGAATTTAAATTTCATGGACAGTTAACTAGCCATTTTCAAGAACGTGGCACTGATCTTGATTTCGTGGGAGCGAATCATGAAATTCACAATTGATTTCACTGAAAATGTAGTGAAATTCCACATTTTTGAGTAGCAGAAACATGAGAACAGGGATGGCCATCAATATTATATTTCTTCAATATTAAAAGGATTTGTGATTTACATTGATAAATGTTTAAATATACCCATCAAAATGAAAGAATATTATTATATTAACAGTTTAAGTTTTCGATTGGTGATGAATTGAATATTTATTAATATAGAACTATAAATTTTCCATTAAGTGAATATTTCTAATTTCTTAAACGGGATTATCGATTAACCAAATACTGGGCAATCTTCCTACCTAAATTATTGATTAATAAAATAGTCCAAAATTTGAATATTTAAATTGATGATTATTAAAATCATTAAAAGTTTAAGAGTGATATTAGCTAAGTTATGATTTATGAATAACGAATTTTCAGTAAAGGCCCGGATGGATTATTTTTTGAACGTTATCTCGATTGTTTTTCCATCCCCATAAGATAAAACAAAAAAAACAAATACATCACAATACCCACTGAAAAAAAAAAATTCAAAAAAATAAATATATGACAATTTCCACTGAATTGTACATCACGCAGGAGTCCCTAAAAATTATGATTGTACAATTTAAAAAAAGTAGAAAAAAACTGAACTAAAAGTCGTAGATTCAGACAGAAATGCCAAAAATATTTTAAATGTATTCTAACTTTTTTTTCTAAATATCTTTCTTTTGCAGAAGTTGACTGAATACTTTGTATTTTCATTTCAAATAATCTGCTCTCATCAATTCCCTTTTGAATTCAAAATTTCAAAATTAATTTTGAGTGTAAAATTCACCTCTGCATGAACAGCAATGAGATTAGCCAGTGCCTCCTGAGCATAAGGTCTGATGTGGGTGGGTTCCACATCAGAGTCCCATTCGAGTCGTCCCAGGTACATGCTGGGTTCGATGGTCCCCACAAGAGGGTCACACCTTCTCTCAAGATAAGCGTCCAACACTGCAGTGTCCAGAGTCTCCAACTGCGTCCAGTCCTTCCTCCACCCGTCAGCAGTCGACAAGTCTGGATATCCCTTGGACTTTAGAGCCTCAACTACTCTTGGCAGAATAGTATTCATGGTATACCGAATATTACTGAGGGTTATCAGCAAACACTTCTCCCATGTCTGCAGCAAAAATTCACAGATCACTGAATACAATTGATATTGAAGAAAGATTCTTCAAGAGTGGTCAGAAGAAATGAATGTGGAAATTATATGTGAATAATCTGGAGGACATGCGTCTTCAGCTGCATTTTTGAAGAGATTATTATTAAATCTTTTGACAAATTTTGCAATTGAAACATTTGTGAAATTAATGTTCACATATTTGAATCCAAATACCTTATTTTAAGTTACATAAATTTAACTTTTAAGATACATAAATGTAAACGAAAATAAATTTGAAAAACAATGAAATTAAATCATGAAAAAAAATTGTTTTCTAAATAATCTTCATGCCATCAATTCTCCAATGCATGTTCATCTCTATTTTCCATTCGATCACTCAATTGGGAGTTTATTTAAGGCCCCACGAGCATATATATATAGGTATATAAAAGCGGGTAAACTTTGCGCCACTCTCACGGGATAATGGATGGACAGAATTGGATAAAACTTACGTCAAAAAATTTGTTTTTTTCGTTGGCTGCGGTTGAAATGGTTTCGGATGTTCCCTGACGCAAAAATTATTGATAAAATAATTAATAAAATTTTGAGGTGAGTTTGACAGTTTGCGGCAGCCACGTTGTATGATATAAACATACAAGTGACACAATTCAGGGCAGTCGATAAATCGATCGATTGTTATTAATTGAACTTATCGACTGATGTAACATTATTTTACTTACGAGAGAGTGAGTAATTTTTTAAACTTCATGTGTGGCACACTTGACACCACGAAATTATGATTTTTCCACGTATAAGGGTGAAGCGATGAGAGTAAAGAGATAATTTTATGGATTGAGGAATTCTCGTTCTAGTTCATCTGCAGATTTCATGAATGGCTTGGCTATTTTTCATATGTCACAGATTTCAAAATGACAAATCATAATTTCGTGGTGTCGAGTGTGTCACACGTGAAGTTTAAAAAATTACTCACTCTCTCGTAAGTAAAATAATGTTACATCAGTCGATAAGTTCAATTAATAACAATCGATCGATTTATCGACTGCCCTGAATTGTGTCACTTGTATGTTTATATCATACAACGTGGCTGCCGCAAACTGTCAAACTCACCTCAAAATTTTATTAATTATTTTATCAATAATTTTTGCATCAGGGAACATCCGGAACCATTTCAACCGCAGCCAACGAAAAAAACAAATTTTTTGACGTAAGTTTTATCCAATTCTGTCCATCCATTATCCCGTGAGAGTGGCGCAAAGTTTACCCGCTTTTATATACCTATATATATATGCTCGTGGGGCCTTAAGAAAAAGTTATAAAAAAATCTCAAAGTATAAAGCAGGATGAATAACTTGTACACGTATTTTTTTATTTTCAGAAAATAGAATAAATTCTTTTGTATTGCGGATCTGCAATGGATTCTATTCGTCTATAATTAATTTTGTATGCTTTCTGCTCAATCCAAAAAATATGTATCTAATATTTTCATTCCCTATCGAGTTGCAATAGTAAGAAAAATAAAATATGAGATCGTAATGAAATGAAGAAAGGAAATTTTTTGAATGAAATGTTGATGGAATTTTTTTTTTACCGGAGTCGCTGGCCCCCTGTGCTTTTCTCTCGACCTGTAGACCGCGGGTGAGCTCACAAGCTGGGAAACGTCATCCTCATCATTAGCCTCTTCGCTACCACTGAAGGCTAATTGTTGTAGGCACCGTGAAAATGCTACGAAGAGTGTCTTAACTGAATTATGGAAGAGAGCTTGGGGTGCAATATTGTCTAGGAGTGGCGTTTCCCTAGGTCCACATGCAATGGCAGTTTCTCGAGCAAGATCAGACACCTCCATCACCATTTCCTCGAACAAACATGGCAATTTCGTTACTCCACCGTCTTCATTGGGCAGGTATTCCAATTGCCAGGTTTCTTTTCTCTGTAGTCCTCCAATGTTCTCAGCAGTTTGTTTGAAGAGAGCTACCAAACATTGCAATCTGCAAGGAAGGTTAAGAAAAAATAATGAATACATAATGGCAAATAAGAAGCCCGTTGGAGTTTAAATGTTCAACACGAGATTTTTTATCCTTGATTATTTTCAACTTGCAATTTTGTTGGAATTGAAAATGATGAAACAAGAATTATGTGAAAACGCTTTTCCTTCTGTCAATACAGTTACGGTAGAAAAAAATGTGGAATGATGAATTTCAAGGCTGAGGAAATCCTCAGTGAAAAAATATCTTAATATTTTTTCCTGAAATGACTAATATCTCAAATAAATGTCGCCTTAACCAAGCATTTCATATTCGATATTAATCAGGGATAGTCATATCCATAAATCATAATTACCATTAAATTTTAACCCCGTCATTTAGTTAATATTACTCTCAAATTTTTAATTATTTAAGAACACCATCAATTTAAATAGCCAAATTTTGAAATATTTCATTAACCAATAATTTAAGTAGTACAACTACCGATTATTCGGTCAATCGATACTCGCCCTTAAGAAATTAGAATTATTTACTTCATAAAAAATTTAAAGTTCCATATTATCAAATATTTAATTCATCATTAAACCGAAATTTTAAATTAACAATATTAAACTATTTTTAAATTTTGATAAGTATATTTTATTTATAGAATGCCATGTATAGCCTACTCGGCCTTTTACATATTTTGATAAGTATATATTTAAACCTTTATTAAACTAAGTTGCAAATCCTTTTAATATTGATAAAATTTAATATTGATGGCCATCCTTGAATTTAATAACTTTGTTACTTATTAATTAATGTCTTATCTCGAGAATGAACAATTTGAGAAAAAATCATTTGAATGTCATCTAAAATTCCTCAGTCATGAAATGATTCTATAATCACTGATATTAAATAAAGCATCACTAACTCTCGAAACAATTCCATATCTTTTTCGTAATTTTCTCCTCAACTCACCTAAGATCAAACAAAAACTTTCCAAAAATGTCGAGAGCCTCACTGGGCAAATCCAGATGAATAAGTGCAGCATACATTTGCCTGACGCATCTCAGACTATGCATCAACCAAGCTGGTGTTAGATCCCTGCCACAGCTCTCCTTCATGGCCTCGCTGGCCCTCTGAATGCAGCTCAGCACGAGGTTCTTGAAAGGCCCCTGTTTCTCGGCGTCCACAGCCACGTGTAGCTGCCCAGTGAAGTAACTCTGGCCCAATCTCCACAGATCAGGCAACTGCTCAGCCACAACGTCACAAATAGCTTCAATACATAACACTCTCGAAGGCACATTACAATTGGCATCGTTCCTGAACATTCTCAGTCTATCAGCAGCGATCGGCGTCAAGTTGTTGCTTTTATGCCTGCCGACCCCCTCGTCATTGCCATTGTCTGTGAAGTAGTCTTGGAGACATCCTGAGATGTTTTTGTCTAAGTAGGCAGCATGCGAGACAATGGCATCCCAGGCAGGATCTCCATCCGCCTCGAGATTCACCAAGTGTCGAATGATTTTCTTCTGTCTCTCCAGTGCGAACGGAATCTCCTCTAATTTCTTTCGGAGAATGTCTCGCAGCATATCTATCTTCTTTTCAATCTCCACTAGGACTTTTTTGAAGATTTCAACGTCAGTATTACCTGTGGAGACACAAAATTACGCGAGATTTAGAATTCTTGATTAATAAATTCATGGAGTCAGTCGAGTAAAATCACTATTGTGAAGTTATTTAAGAAAAATTCTTACAGTGGAATCGAAATTTTGTTGCATGTTATAAATAGCGAATAAGCTTTGTAATAAATTATTGAGTCATCTAGAAAAAAATGATATGAGAACAAATGTTTTCAAATAATTTTCTACAGGGCATTTTATCAATTATCAGAGAACTTTGGTTGTAGTTGACAAAATTCCGTTTGAAATTCTTATTTTCTCCTGGAACCTTTGGAAGATAATTCAGGAAGCTTTTAATGGAATTTTTTTTACTTTTATATTTTCTCAATCAGCTAATAAATCTAGGATCAAGTGAATTCAGAGTAAAATATAAGAAGTGATTGTCCTTCAGGAAATTTTTTCAATTATGAAAAATTTACAATTTATATTCTTCATTTTTAAATTAAAAAATTCAAAATTAGTCATAATTTGCAACTCATGACTCATTGACTTGAAAAAAAAAATAACTCATTGGTCATCGAATGATCTCAGAGACAAGTAATTCCGGGCAATAAAAATTTCAAAATTCTCATCAGAAAACGTACTCTGACATTTTCTCCAAAAATTTCTCATCTGTTTTCAACATTTGTAGTACTCAACTTCGTTTTTTTTCATTTATGTTGGTGAAAACTTGAAGTCACTGCTTTTTCCTCGAATATCGACGGGATACGAATATTTTGGAATTTTATGATTCAATTTTAACGAGAATTAATGAAAAAAATTTTTTGAAAACGTAGGCGTGAAGAACTAAAAAATTAATTTTTTAATGTCTCCGGAAAGTTTTAAAATCAATATATTTTTTCGAATAATGGAAGAATACCCATAAATTCGATTTCTATCCTTGTGTTTTCATAGAATCAATAGACTGGACAAATGACAGAAATTGAGAATTGGAAACTAAAAATTTTATCGGATTATTATGTAATATTTCCCCTATTTTTTCAAAACAATTTTGCTTTTTAATGCACTGTTATTGGCAGTGAATTATCAATGTATATTTCACATACAGGACATACATAACAAACATTAAAAAACTCGATATCCAAAACATCTCCACGACTTACCAAATAGATTCTTCACCCTGGCATAATCATTAATGACCAAGTCATAATTTCCCCTCTTAATATTCTTCTCAATATTCACAGGCATGCAGAAGAGGAATCTGTAACGCTGCATGACTGATAGAGCACTTCTGGTGGCATCCGCTCTATCCCTCCTAGCCAGCACATCATCGAAGAGTTTATTAGCTTCCTCCATGGACGTTTTGATCGCCGACTCTAGTCTCGCCGTGGGATCGTCCCCGAACTTCTTGACATCAGCCTCGAACTGCTCCTTGAGGAGTACAATTGTCTCCAACTGCTCCATGACTGACCCCACGTTAGCCTTCAGGAAGGAGAGCTGTCCCTCCTTCTGAGAATTCACTTTACGTCGGAGGTAGGCCAGCCCTGCCTTCAGGTCGTCCAAGGATGTGGCGTGGTGATGCTGAAGGAGAAACCATCCTGGGTGGAACTTCTCAGAGGTCAGCTCACCGTTGCTCTCCCCAAAGAGCTCGCAGAGTTCGTCCTCTGGGAATTTCTTGGTGTCGTTGCCCTCGACACTGAGACCCAGGGGGTCCTCCTGCTGGTAGTTCGTTGGGGAGAGGGCTCGTCGGCCCCAGACGAAGCTCTGCACTGGGGCCTCTTCCACCCAGACTGCGGACTCCTTCATCGGACCGATGGTCTCATGATACCCACGGAATTGAACTGTCGAGGAACCCTGGCCTCCGCTTCGAGTCGTCACGATTATGTCGCCGCGCCCCTTGCAGGGACCTGAACGCGCTATGATCTTGTTCGGGGACTTCCATTCTGCGGAGAGGAGACAGTCGCAGCCGCAGATTGTCAATCCTGCATGGAGAAAAGGTTTCTCATTTCCAGAACCAAGTTACTGATTTTGAGGAACATGATTCTACAAGGTGTTGCATCGAGAGTAAATAGTATATTGTGTTATTAGTAGACTGAAAAAAAAAATTTCTAAGAAATAGAAATTCTATGATTGATCCAAATCGTTCATCGATTGAATAGTCGCAAAAGAAAATGCTATTGTAAGAAACAAATATCGATTTAATGTTAATGTTTTCGATTGAAAAAGAATGAGATCAGTTGTCTAAACTTTTTTTTTGTTGCTATCTACTTTTCAGTACATACAAAGCAATGTCTGTATTATCAGATATCTTCTTCGAATAAAGCATATAATTATCCAATTTATCAGCGTCACGATATCCCGCAAAAGAATATCTGTTCGATTGAAAGCAGAATTCATAGATGCAATAAAATATTCATTTGGCCTATGAGGAACATATTGTTGGATACTCATTGATGCGAGACTTTCGCGAAGCGCAGTTTCTTGTTTACGACAAACGCAATTCTTCATCATTTGAACTGATTATTTTTCCATTGCAATTGTGAAAAAAAAATTATTTGCGCCAAATCCGAAGCGTTTGAACTAAACCAAAATTGAATTGTATAAAATCGATTTTGTCGCAAAAACAAGTATTTTCTAAATTCGATAGAATAAACAAAATATACTATACTATAACAAAATCGATTTCATACAATCCAATTTTGGTTTAGTTCAAATCGATATTTGTGTCTTACAATAGCATTTTCTTTTGCGACTATTCAATCGATGAACGATTTGGATCAATCATAGAATTTCTATTTCTTAGAAATTTTTTTTCTCAGTGTAGGGGCGGGTGGGGTAAAATGAACACTTCAGACTTTTTTAAAATTATTCATAACTCAGCAACAAATTGATCAATTGAGCTTAGTTTAGGCTCGTCACAAAGGGAAAGAATTGTTCTTTGTATTGAAAAAAAAAAATTATCAAATTGTATCAACATTTCAACCCCTCATTAACATTTAAAAAAAGTCAAAAGTGTCCGTTTTACCCCAATCTCCCCTACGTAAAGTTCTATTTTTCACACGCACGTGTAACACATCCTACACTGAGAGAAAAACGACAAAGTTCTCAAACAAGTCTTACTTGTGCCAAGAAAATAATTTTTAGAAAATGATCAAAAAATGATTTTTTTGTGCCAAACATGCGGAGCGTGCGCCGAAATGAAAAATTTTTGTCGCAAAAATAGATTTTGTAGTTGAAAAAAAATTACATTCTCTGTACACACAAGAAATGTCATTTCTAGCACTACTCCTTCATTATTCGATACTCCCATACATATTTTGCTCCCGAAAAATCTCTGTTTTATGGGAAACAAGGGATAGTAGTTTTTCGTTTCGGCTGTCTAATAATCACAGACAAGAAATGAACCCTCAAATGAAACAATAATAATGATATGATAGCAATCTTGTAACTTAAGGATAAAATATTTGTTGAAAAATTTTCCTCTATATGAGGTGTTTTCATCCTGAAAAGGCACCGTCTGGTGTGAATTATCCGCCTCTTGAACCAAATATTTCGTTGCTGTCGAAAGCAGAACAATTATTCATGTTTGAGACTTTCAAATTCAAACCAAACAATAGTATATTGTGCATCAAGGGCGGAAAGTCATGTTTTCCCGCCCGAGGGGCACATGCTATTTTCCGTCCCGGCGGGCGCAAAGTTACATTTCCCTCCCACGAAGCGCGAGGGAAATCGCCTTCGGCTCGGCTGGTAATTGCACTGGCGGTTGAGGATCCTTTATTTTCCCTCCCTAGGTTAGAAATATACTATTTTAACACGCCTGCAAAGGAAAGTTCGTATTTAGCTCTTTGATGAGCGGGCGGAAAGTGAGTACTTTCCACCCGAGGGCGGGAAGTTCTCACTTTCCTCCCGCTCATCAGGGAGAAAAGTACGAACTTTCCGTGCAAGTGTGTGTAAAAAGTGGTTTGTCCCCGTGGGAGGTGTATAGTGCTCGCCGAAGGCGAGTGCGACTCTCCCAAGAGTTAAAGAACACTTTTCCCAAGAGTGTCGACCCCTATTTTTCATCACAAGGTGGGGAAAATGGGATTTGGCGTAAAATTTTAATTGGCACAAGTGATGAAAACCTATTTTTTCCGCACATAGTGATGAAAAATAGGGTTCGACACTCGTGAAAAAAGGGCTCTATGGCTCGTGGATGGATATCACGATACACCTCCCACGGGTCAAAAAACACTTTTACGCACTTGTATTGAAATAGAGTATTTTCAAGCAAGAATAGTTGTTGAATTAAGAACC